AAATAAGAGCAGATATTTCATAGTATATGCCTTTGTATGCATTTTTATTTACTTTGTTCTCGTAAATGTATTAAATAATATTGATATTCAATAGATGTTATTAAATCAAGAACATATATATATGGATTTTGATGTTTATATCTCTCATAATAATACCACTATTCGTTTTGTTAGGTTACCATTTAAATGCCTTTTAAAATTACAATGGACCTTCATATGACTACATTGGAATGGGATTTTGTATTTTAAGTTTCTTAATATTTCTAAATTCGCTGTTAAACAAGGGATTCTATTCAATAATCACTTCATTTTCATCATAACTTATCGCCACTTTATTTAATTGCAGTTTCTGCATCCTTGTGATATATTTTATACTTTTTAAGATAATTGCTTTTTTTCTATTGCTTTAGACAAATAGCACTGAATACATCGTAGAGAATCTATCAGAACTAATAGCACCACAGATATTTATAATGATGTTAATATACTCCATTTTCTTATTAAAGGCACTCTTTAGTTTAAGTCCTGAAAACATTGAATCTGATCTAAAAGTGTTATCACTTAATGATTAGCCAGATCCCTATATACAAAAGGAATATTATAGCTATAAATTGAATCAGAAAGTAATCAATTTCCTTAAGAAATTGAAATTAACAACTGTTGCCCCAATTTTGATTACAATCAGTTATTTTACTCTCGAAATCTACTGTTACTCTGGGTGGCTTTATTTTAAATCAAATCAGAACTATGAGTTGACAGTTACATATGGATTTTTATTTGTAGCCATACCTATATTTATGTCCTTTGGAATTTGTTTAGCTACATCCAATGTGAATCCATCGAATTTATACTTGTATAGTTCGCTGTTATTGGGGTCGGGTTTTAGCATCCTAACAATTAAAGTCTGGAACTTAACATATGATATTTAATACTTCTAATCCATTTCTAGGTTGTTTGGCATATGTCCTTTAATAATTACTTTGATCTGGTTGACTATAGCTTATTTTCGATCTTGGAGAAGGAACTAAAAAATGTTTGTTTTAATCATTTCTTGTTTGTTTTTTGCATTTCCAATAGGGATATTAATCACATTATCAGATGCTTTTAATGATTCTGGAATCTATAATGGTTCTGTAGTATTGATTGTCATTGGATGTCTTCCAATAATTGGTCTAATTTTCTATTATTTTGTGGTGGTGATGGTTTATCTCTTAAAATTACCTTAGCAAGCCTTGAATTTAAATTTTGTTGCATTCTAATATATAAATTTGACTAATTTGGCAACTTGGTTTAATTCAATATGTTACATAGTTGGATTTTATTTTACTTGCTATTTTGTTTGGAATGAGCCAGCAACTGCAACAGGAACAAAAAAAGGAGCTGTAAATAATATAATATAATTCTATAGATGTAAGGACTTCTAGTAATCTAAACGGTGTTATTTATTTTAACAAGGAAAGCATTGTAAGTGAAGATTTAAGTCAATCAAAACGATTAGAAGGAAGAATATGTAAAATATTTGGAAAGAATTGACAACCTCGTTAGAGGTGGAATATTTTATCCATTTGTGATATTATTGCCAATCGGATTAACCTAAGATAGTGAGACAACTAAAAATGCTTTGATTGCTAATGCTGTAGGTCTACCAGTAACATTTATATATTTCAACTTCTTAATCTATTTAAAAAAAGAACTCTGTTAATACCAGGATTTCTTTTAACCTCTACTTATCATACTTATGTGGATCTTTGTTATTGGACCAATAGGGATAATATTCCCAATATTAGCTGATATTTATGAGAACTCTTCACATTAATTCGCTGTATTTGCCTAATTAGCTGTTGCTTACACTATTTTAATAACTATCATTATAAACACTTGCATTTCAAATGTGTATTCGGTTTTATTGAATAAGGAATAATTAGAAATGAAGAAGAAGGAAGTCTTAAAAGTTGTAATGTAACTATTGGCCAATCATAAAGTATCATCAACTGAAGAGATCTGTGCTCTGATATTCTTAAGATTCATTCAACAAAACAATCCAGTTAAATTGAAAACTGATTTGAAATTGGGGGATCCCGTTAATGTCTATGATTATCCAGGAGTAGACAAAGGGAGAATGTTTGATGAATAATTGGTGACTAAAACAGAGTATGAGAATAAAAAGAAATTAGAACAAATATCTAAGAAGAAGAAGGGAGGTGTTATTCGTAGTCTTTAAGATGATGATACAGAATTATTCAAAAAATCTACTTAAAATAATGAGGATGATCAATCAGAAGGTCTGAATCATAAGATAATTGATCTAATTTTTGAATGTGTCTTTTGTAGATGTGGTTTTGAAGAGATGGAGTAGATAAATCTAAATAAACAACAATTAGATGTGGAATTATTGGAATTGGAGAATTGGAAAGAAAGAGAGGCTAAAAAGATCTAAGGAATTATATAACCCAGTGAATCAGATATGAAGGCAGCCGCAGATATAGATTTTTATACTGCATTAAGGACTAAATATAGAGATAGGACTGAGAGGTTTTGGGCTGCCATATATAGCAAATTTAGAAAAAATTTGAATGTGGTGTTAGAGTATTTAGAATTACAGAGAAACGATGAAATATTAAAATAATATAAAAGCTTTAAGGTGACCGAAGACGGGGATTTTACAATGTCATAGAATGATTTTGCACTTTTCCTTTATGACAATTTTTAGAGAGATGACCAAACAAATTATTATAATCTTATTTGGGAAATGGCTGTTAAGAAGTACCATCTGTTTGTTTATAATCATAATGATATCAGGTAGATATTGAAATTACTCTAAAATAATACCAATACACCATTTCATCAACAAAATTTTAAATTACCCAAATAAGAAGGAGATAAAAGACAAAGATTAGAAAAGAAAAAAAGTGTTTAAGGCAATGAATAAATCGATTTACAATATTAACAGAAAAAAGAACTAATTGAGAGAGAATTCTAAGATAAAGTCCCAAGGAATTTGAAAGTTTAATTTTGGTCCTTTTGTTCTAAAGTCAATGATTTTTTATGGGTTAAACCTAGGTTATACTCTCAATAAATTGTTAATTAATTGATTAATTCCTTATTTTAAAGAATAACACCCCCTGAACCAGAATTGGATAAAATTGTTTAAAATGTAAAATGGGATTAACTGGCTGAACTAGTAGGAGATTGTTTAGTTGATTAATGCAATAAATTCGATAAAAAAATGAAAGATCAAGAATTCATTTTGAAATTTACATCTACTAATATTTTGGCTATTCTCTTGAGAATTTATGATTTATATGGATTGGCAACATTGGCCTTCGATTCTTAAGTAGGATGGTTTGGACAATCTCAAACGGTTAGTCCAATCACATTTGTGGATTATTCAGCTATTTGGAGTGAATATAATCTATTTTTCTTTTTAGCACTTTTTATGAGCTTAATCTATATAATTTTGGGTTTTGAGGCAGCAAATTAAATAGCTAATAATACATTTGGATTTGATGAAAATGGAATTATTGCAAACTATAAAAGTAGAAGATACTGGCTGAGTAAAACTATTCAATTGGTTAGTGGATAATTCATTTTTGTTATGAAAAGTTACATAGACGCATTCATTTGTGACTATAGTTCATATCCATACACATTAGTAAGATAGCCAAGTGTCGAATGCATGAGTGATTTGCATTTTATGTACGTCACTTTAGCCATTGTTGGGTGTATTATTTATTATCCCCTATCATCTTATCTTTAACCCACATTCTAATATATGGATCACTCCTTAGATTTAAAATATAAATCCAATTATGTAGTTTTGTATATTCAAGCCAAGTTGTTAATTTTGGGTATGAGCTCAGTGTTTTCAAACCTTTAAGACTAAGCATACTAATATTAAATGCTTTTTTCCAGTATTGTTATGCTAATCCTCATCTATTTCCATTTAAGAATTAAACCATGCTATGTTAAATGGTTTAATACAATAGAATTTTGTATATTGTTACTGTTACTTTATGTAATTTATTGATATTAACTTAGATGTATTTCGGAGCTTTTCTGATATTGGCAACAGGTTATATTATAGTAGGATGGATAATATTGGCTTGTCTGGGTGGACTGACCTTGATAATAACAGCCATAGTATTGGTACGACTTTATAATTAAGAGAAATAATTCTAATTGACGAAAGTCTAGCCAGTGCATCAAGCAACTGATTAATCTTATACATTGAAGCAATGAGGATTTGAATTAATTTATTCTAAATTTATTTATAATTTAGAAATTATGTAATTCAGTTATGCATAAATGGATTTTAATTATTATGAAAATATATGTTCTAGGATTTATTTATGAGATTGATGGAGAGATGCTAAGAATCCGCGTTAGTATAGTGGTTAGTATTCAAGCCTGTCACGTTTGAGGCCCGGGTTCAATTCCCGGACGCGGAGCTTTTTTTTATTTTTTATTTCTTTAATTTAACTTCATAATTAGTATCCATATTATCATTTTTTGACCTCATCGTAGTTCTAAGATTAATAATCAGTATTCATAATTAATAAAATAATTCTTATTGATTTTCAAATGGAATATCTATTAATAATAGGTAATTATAAAATCAAACTTTAAGTTTGTAATGAATTATCATAAAGGTGGTATGTTTGTTATTAAATTATAGAACAAACTAATTAATTCAAAGCAATACTGAGATAAAATGTTTTGCATTATCGTCAAATTTCTATAGTTTTGTAATAATGGAGTTAATTAATTTATAAATATAATTCAGAACTCCAATAATTTATAAATCTAATTCAGTTTCTGTCACTCTTAAAAAGAGATGCAAAATCCTCATTTCATAGACTTAATAATGGCAACCTCTGATAGATAAAATTTATTAATTAATTCAATCTTCGTAATAATATTCTAATTGATCTCCTTCATTCTTAGATTTAATCAATGACTACCAAGTATAATCTTATAAATATATTTTGGATTAGATATGTGTATAATATTAATGTTTGAATGCATATTTATGAATAAATAATCAATATTTCTGTTATTCATATTAATTTAATTGTTCCTTTAGGATGTGATTCTCATGATTTAATTTTTCAACTTATGCTTATAAATCCCTAATCTATTCTTATTGATTTTAAACAATCTACTCTAATTACGCCTTAAAATAATAAATTAAATTACAATTTTTGAGTTGTCTGGTTGTGTTAATTACTATTATTGTTATGGTTTTGGTTATTATTATGTAAAAACAACATTTTACTACTGTTATTGTTATTATTATTATTAATCTGGTTTAAGACTGATTAATACTGGATTGCTATTTTGACCTTAGAAGAATTGAGCAGCAGTCTAATGATATGCATATTCACTATACTTAAGCTGGTTGTGTTCCTGGGCAAGGAGGGAATAGATCCTCCTAGAATGTGTTAGCCTTTCTTGGAGCAATGAGTTGAACATAGGAGAGGGCATTCTCTTCGATTTTAGCCGCTCTGTTAACTTCGCAGATACTCACATCCACAGCTCTTTTGGGGAAAAATGCATAACTCTTTCCAGGTTTATTTGAGGTGTATTGATTTAGGAAATGTAATTAACCATCAAGGAATTCAAAATATTTAATGCTGGAATCTCCCTTACCAGTTAAATAAAGGACTTTGAGTTATTCATCCCAATATGGGTAGAGGACTCCACTTCCTGTATCAATTTGAGTTGTTGATACAGGTTCTGAAGGGTTGCTGGCATTCCATAATGAGAATTCTCTTCCTTGGGTTTTGTTGAATCCAACACTTACGAAATATCCAGTGGATCCCAACCAAGCAAATCTCTATGGCTTGGTTCCCTAATGGGCGTTGACTTCCAAGGTTATTGTCTATTATCTTGGATCTATGATTTTCAATTTTTTATCATTCCAAGATGACCCAATTAATGAACCATTAAGATTCCAATCAATAGAATATGGCAAAGCATTAGCATTGATTGTGTTTCTGGCTGCACCTCCTTGAACATCCCAAACTTTAACTGTTTGATCATGAGCAGCTGATCCTAAGACCCATGCAGAGGTTGGATTCCATGAAATTAAGTTGACCTAATAATTATTCCATTGAAATACTTTTTTATCGTGTCCTGATAATGTTGTTACAGGCTCTGTGATATCACTTGTCAAATCATTAATTTTCCAAACACAAATGTTTTGATCTTAAGATGAAGTAGCCAAGTACTCATCATCGAAAGGATACCAATCCAAATCCAATATTGTACCTAAATAATCCACATAATATAAAACCTTAATGTCCTTTGATCATAGGAGTGTCAAAAGGAAGCTTAGCGGGTTTATCGGATTTAACAACACAAACAAGTCCGCCACCACCGGTTTACCAAAGAAGGGCTGTGTATAAAGAATTGGCCTAGTATTTTTTTAGTTAATATTGATACCTTGACCATGGTGGAGTCACAAGTGATGGTGGTTGGTGTTACTTATTCAAACTTTGATTTCATTTCTTCTCCATATAGATGCTTGAATCTTAATGCCTTCATTGAATATCTTAAATGTATTATTAATATATAAATAAATTAAATTTTTGTTAGGATATTTATAACATACCATTAACATCCATAAAAGAAATAGTCTTAAAAGTTTGAGAACACAAAAACCAAGCTTAATGCATTAGATGTTTCATCTGTGTTCACTTAAAGAGATTATAGAATGCATTAATTAAAATGAAAAATAACATTAAATATAATTAGATATATATTTATATATAAATAAAATTTATTATTCAATGATCATTAATTATTTTTCTTTAGTTTTCTAAAAATAGATAAACTTGATTCTACGTAAAGTAAATTAATCAAATTTTACACATTGTAAAAAATGACGTTCTGCATATTTAAAGGGCTTAATTAAATAAAGCAAAATAAATTAATTATTTAATTCTGTTTAAGCAAAATGCAATAGGAAGAGAGCATTTAATAGTCGCATCATAAGAAAAAGTTTGTTTTGCCTAAAGGACATTTCCTTTTTACATCAGAGAGTGTAAGTGCTGGTCATCCAGACAAATTATGTGATTTCATCAGCGACAGTGTGCTTGATGCCTGTTTAGAATAAGACCCCAACTCGAAGGTAGCTTGCGAATCAGCATGCAAAAACTCTCTTGTGATGGTATTCGGAGAAATCACCACTCATGCTTAAGTTCCATATGAAACCATAGTCAGAGAAGCAATAAAATAGGTTGGATACGACAATATAAGTAAATATACAACACACTAACATATTTAGGTAAGGGATTGGATTACAGAAATGCATCAGTCATAGTATCATTGGATTAACAATCATAAGAAATCAATTAGGCAGTCGTAGGTTCTAAACATGAAGACGAAATTGGAGCAGGCGATTAAGGTTTAATGATAGGATATGCTTCCGATGAAACCCCAGAATTAATGCCCTTAACACATCATCTCTGCAATAGACTCATATCAAGACTCCAAGAATGCAGAGAAAGCGAAATCTGTCCTTGGATGAGACCTGATGCCAAGGTTCAAGTTACTGTTGAATATAAACGAGAAGACTCTTCATTTTATCCAGTTCGAATTCATAATGTCCTCATTTCCTAATAGCATGATGAGAAAATAACTCATAGTGAAATCGAAGCAGAATTGCATAAGCATGTGTTAAAGTATCTGCATATTTTCTATTCGTTTTAGACACGTCTTACCATAAAAATATGTAGATGAATAAACACAGTACCATCTAAATCCTTCGAAGGCCTTCACTGTTGGAGGACCCTATGGAGATGCTGGATTAACAGGCCGTAAAATCATTGTAGATACTTATGGAGGATGGGGTGGCCATGGTGGAGGAGCTTTCTCTGGTAAAGATCCAACCAAAGTGGATAGAAGTGCTGCTTATGCTGCAAGATGGGTGGCTAAATCACTTGTTGCATCAAAATTATGCAAGAGAGTAATGATTCAAGTTGCCTATGGAATTGGTATCAGCGAACCTCTCTCTATTTGTGTTAATTCATATGGTACACAAGCTGAAGGACTAGATGATGATGACTTGTCTGAAATTGTTTAAAATCATTTCGATCTCAGACCAGGAGTTATCATTAGAGAATTAAAATTAAGAAGGCCCATCTATGCTAAAACTGCCTCTGGAGGACATTTTGGCAGAAATGAGCCAGAGTTTACTTGGGAACAACCTAAGAATATCAATCTAGCTGCTTGGAAAGCTCATAAAGCAGAATAATAATAACAAAACTAATGATAAAATAAAGTGAATTTATTAACAAAAATAAATAAACAAGTAATTTCATCTTCTTTTATTCAACTCAGCCCCTAGTAATTTTATTTAATCTCTTAACTGTAAATTTTCAATCATGGTTTTCTAAAATATGAATATCTTTATACTTCTAAAATGTCTTACACGTTTTATTTCTTTCTTAAGGATTATATTAACTTAATGTCTTCTTTATCAATTCTAAATCTAATATTGAAATTATTACAAATCTGCTTCTGACAAACTGGGATATGCCTTGGTGAGATTGTATGCTAAAGATTATATGTATGCTATTTTTTCTTCTAATTGATTTGTCAATGCAGTAATTTTGCTATTGTATTAATCTCTTATTGTTTTGTTTTGAATTTCCAATTCTTGAACTCTATTCGCCAACGATTCAACAACTATTTTTTCTTTTTTTGTTAATGGGGCATCAACTACTGGCTTTTATCTAAACTACATATCTCTCATCATTTATAAATCTTTAGACATATTATGATTCTATTCCTCTAATTGCATCAATTATTTTTATTTCAACATTAAGTCCTGTGTTAATTATTCAGTTTCCTAAGCGTATTTCTTCTGTAAGAGTTTCAACTGATTTCTTAATTCATCATTAACCAAATTTTAATCATTATACTTTTACTCTAAAATGGAAAACTCTTAAAATTAAGTTGACAATATCTTCTCCAAATCTTTTAATTTTATCGATTTTTGGTCCAATTCTGATTGTGTATTCTATAATTATCTTTAAGTCTTGGCTAATTCTTCACACACTTCATCATACTTTTCTTATAACTAGAATTTACAGATTAATTTACCTTTATTCTTTACTTTTCATTTTATTTAAGCTACTTTGAATTATTATCCAACTCTTCTTTTTTTCTCTCATTATCCTTCTCAAGTTGTTTTATTAACTATAAATTTATTGACAAAATATTATTACATTCTATTAGTCTTGATATTCAGATAAAGTATTTAATGCTTATTAAAGTTCACTTTCTAATTTAAATTTATTCTGGGATATAATTCTCAAATCTCGTAGTTCTGAATTACATAACTTTAAATCTTCTTTAAGTTATGAATTTTATTGTTTATACAATCCTAATTCAGCACTCATTTTAGAATTTATAACACTACTATCATCGATTATTTATTATAAAGCCTAGCATTTTTAAACTAGACTTTCCATAGACAGATTAGTTTTTTGCTGTTTAGTATTTAATACTTTTGCTTATTCCTCTTGGAGCTATTTTAATTAAGTAATTTCTGTTTGTAATAATTTAATCTAATTTTATTAATCTTTTGATTTCTTATCCCAATTTTATAACTCCTTTACAGGTATTGTTACTGTTTTCTCTTAAGCATGTGCCTATTAATTATTAGATAAATAAGGGTTTATATTACCTTAATCTGCATTTTATTTAATTTATTATTATTATTATTAGGAATATTGTTATTGTTATTGTTATAATTAGTGCTATTGTTAGTGTTATTGTTATTGCTATTGTTATAATTAGTTTTACTGTTATTGTTATTACTATTGTTATTATTATAATATAGATTGTAATTGAGATTACTATTATTAAGTTATTGTTTATATTTATGTTTACTATTATACAATGACTCTTTATTATTCTTAATTATCTAGTTCCAATTATTTGATTTAATTCTTCAACTTTTCTATTTAAGTTCCCAATTTTTCAAATTAATCTGAATAATCTTCCTCTTACTTTAATATGTAGGCGTTTAACTCTTCTATTTAAGTATCTTTATCTTGTTCTTATTCATTCTAATCATTGTTCACTTCAACCTTTAATTTAAGCTCATCAATCTAAGCTTATTTTTCTTGAATTTTTTATTTAAGATCATCATTTTCTGTCTTCAATTCCTTACATTTAAAATCTAAAACTTCCATATCATTTAGACTATTTTACATCATCTTCCCTTCACTTTCCACAGTTTCCAATTATTATTTCAATTCTTGAATCAGCCTATGTAGATCATCTATCTGAGATTCATGTTTCTATTTTTATAATAGTAATCTGTTTTCGTATTTTTATTCCATATTATACTGATCCTCTTAATTAGCACATAATTGCAAATTCAATTAATCTATTTATGAATCCTTTTCTTTTAAAAGTGTCTAAGACTTTTAAAGAGATTGGATTATTTCATCTTATTCCATTCTCTATCTAGTCAATAAATCAACTTCTTATTAATATTCTTTTTCTTTTTTTTCTAATTGTTCCAATAATAATTTCTTCTATTCTAGATTTTAAATTTCTAGTTGTTGAATTTACTCTTTTAATTCCTCTACTTCAATAGTCTATAATCCTTATTGCTATTATAAGATTTCAGATTATTATTAAGTTTCTATTTGTAATTGCTACATGATACTTTATCTTTCTTACTCATGATTAAATTTATACTATTCATCCATTGCAATTTTTAATTATTCCAATTCATTTTTATGGTTTTCATTAAGTGAAGCTAAATTATTTTATAATTCTTCAGAAAGATTCTATTAAATTTCTAATTCTTTTTTTAATTATGATATCTCTTCATGTTTTAATGTCTCAGTTTCACTTAATTATTTTTCCAATGCCTCATATTTTACACTTAATTCTTAAAATTTAACTTTTAGAATATTTTCTTGTTCAATGCTCTGTTTTTCTTTTTCTTAGGCATCCTCTAAACTTAATTACATAACTTCAATCTCCAATTGAGATTTTTCTTCCGAAATCTTCTACTAATTCCTAAGTTGAATAATTAAATTTTCTAATTCTTGAACTTTTTCCGATAAACTTAGATTATTTGATACAAGCTATTCTTTTTATTGCAATTCATTTTAGATCTATTAATTTAGAATTTCCAATTCTTTATTTTTGATTTCAATATCTTAGATTGACTATTCTTTTAAAATAGAATGTTGCCTTTCTTAAGCTTAGAATTATTAATTCAGATCTTGCACCATTATATTCAATGCCTCTAATTGCTTAGTCAACTCATTGTTTAAATTTTCTAATTCTAAACTTTTTTCTGTTACTATTTCCATTTCTTTCCTACTTTATTCTTATTATGCATCAATCTATTAATGTTCTAATTCAGATTTTTTCAATAATTATGCTAAAGCTTCAATTTCATTTAATAATTCAGATTGATAAGTTTCATGTTAAGTTTAGAGTTGCTATTTTTCCAATAGGAATAATTCTTTATCTTATTGTTTTTCATTTATTAGATTATCATTTAACTTGTCAATTTAAAGTAATTAATCTTGAACCTTTTAATTCAGTGTTTCGATCTCTTATTTCAAATTAGAATTTTCTTCTAAAGTATTTTTATTAACAAGATTTTCTTGTTTTATTTGATCTATTAATTCACTCTAAAGTAATATTTTTTCTTAAGCTTTTTGATGATCTTGAGTAATTTATTCGATTTAATCTTTTAAATTTTGGATCTCAATTAATAAATCTGATTCTCTATTTTGAAGTCTTTAAATTTCTTATTAAAAGTCTAAACACTCTTTCTCATATTTTTGAGTTAATTCCATATTAACATTTTCATGAGATTTAATTATTGTTTGATATTCTATATTGTTGACCTCTATCATTTGACCTTATTAATTACACTAGTCTTTCAAAGATTAAATTTATTGGACAAGCGATTCATTTTCTTTTTTGGCTTAATCTAGTTAACTTTAATAATCTTCTTGTAATGATGCAATGAGATTTTATTGGTCATGATTGATATCTTAATGATTATCAACAAACTCTGACTTATTAGTATTTAAGGTATCATCATCTTAGGAATCTTAAATTGTTTTGGTTTGCTAATCCTCTAAATCTAATTTTTCTCCTGAATTATCCATAATATTAAAAGAATAAAATTTAATAATTTGATTCTTCTAGATGTCATATAGAAATAATGTATAAATATTAAGTTTATTAAGAATACAATTCGTTTGTATATGATTATATATCCCAATAATCAAATGGATATTAAACAGCTATTTTATTGAATTAAATAAAACACTGTTATTTTAACATAAAAATAAATTTTATCAATAATGCTGTTGCAATAATCAAGAAAGAGTGTGGTACAACCTTAATAATAAACAGCTTCATCTCATACTATCAAGATGATTTCTGAAAAATGGAAAAGAATATCATCAGAAGTTGATAATCAAAAAGCTAGCAGACATTAGTAACTACAAGAAAAAATGAAATAGATTGAGAAACAAGCCTTAGCTGTTAACAATAACGAAATTAAATAATTATAAGATTCAATAAACACTCTAAACCAAAATGCTTAGGATCATTTGACCCAGGAATATAATCACAAGACATAAAAAACTTATGAAAATACAAAAAATTCTTTAGAAAAGGGTCTACAACAATAGAATCAATAATCATAGGATATGGAGAAGAGGCTAACCCATCTACTTGATTGGAATCACCTTTAAGACTAGTTGTCAAGAAATGAATCTCAATTTGATTTTGGTCTCCAAAACAAATTATAAATGATTGCTGATTCGGTTAATTAGATTGAAGACATTCTAGAAGGTGAAAGAGAACAAAGGTAATTCAATATCTTAATATTAGATTGCAATCTTTTGAATAAATAGAGAGTGAATTAGAACAAAATCTATTTTAACTTAAAAACTATATTTCTTAAGAATCTAGTCTAAGGAGATAAAAGGAAAACAAAATATTTGATATGATTAATGATGTGCATCAGAACCTATCATTAATGTTGTAGGATGAAAAGAAAGAAAGACAGATCATGACAAGCAATTTGATGCAATTAATGGACGATGCATGTCTTAGAATTGATAGAAGTCTAAGTTCATTTTGACAATTTTATATTTTAATTAATTGCATAATCTCTACATTCTTAAATGAAATAAATAGGAAGAATATGCATCACCTCTTTAATTGCTAATAAGAGAGTGTGACGCAGGTTCAGTTACTATATATATCAAAATTTTAAAGGATTTATTAAACTGACGAAAGTGAAAATCGATTCATATTATTCTAAGAGTACTTAGAAAGTTAAAGCAATTTATTTTCACATATTGCTTTATTCTTCTGGTAGTGTATTACCCTAAAAGGCCAAAATTTCAAAATCTAAAGGATCATTTATAAATAATAACAAGAGAACCAATTTCATAAAGATAATTTGAAAAAATAAAAGATTTAAAGACCTTCTTGATTTGGAGAAAGTTTAAATTTAGTTTTGATGATTGGAGATGTCTATAATTATTAAAGCTATTCAGTAAATTGAAAAAAACGAACACATTATCAAAAAAAGTTAATATTATATATCTTATCAAATTTAATGAAAAATATAATAAATTTTAAATATGAAGGTATCAAATAGTCTATTTGGATTTTATAATTATACATTACTTTCTAATCGAGATGAATATTGAATATTTTAGAAATGCAATATATTTTTTGCATTTCTATTATATTCATCTCAATAATTATAGGGAATAAGCGAATAATTATTATGATGACTCAATTTTATTAAATTATCAGTGATTTAATACTAAGCTCTACATTTTTAAGATTTCATTTTATAGGAAAAACTTTAAAACAACTTTTTAGAGTATAAAATACTTATAAATTGAGGATCAAATGCTAGCAAAATCAGCTTAATTCTCTGATAATATATATATTTGATTAGAAATGTGTTATTATTATTAATAATATTAATTAATTTACATGCAATTTTATATTAATAAAAACCAACAGGAAAAGAATTCAGTTGCATAGTAATCCTTCAAAAGGTTAACAAATGATCTTCTGGATGAAAAACTCTAAGATCTAAATGACAATACTTGTTAAATTTTGATAAATTAGAATTGTGACAAATTGTATTTATAAATAACTCCAAAAATCGGCTCGTTTATTTATAACAATTACTAAGTATTTTAAACTTTAGTATTTTAGTTTTAACTAGATTTCAGAATCAATTATCCTTATAGTCCTCCTTTAATTCAAGTAGAGTCTAATATCCCACATCCTAACATTGATTTAAAAAATCATTAACTTTATGTAAAAGTTTTGGATCCAAATGTTTGGAAACCAGTATATGGGTATGTTTACATATTTAAATAAGGTTATATGACATCATTTAAGCCATAAAATAAACTATCCTCTACATAGATTACACCTATATACCTAATGATATACAATGTATCAAAAGTGCATAAAGAATGGGTTAATAGGATCATAGTACTGATGAAGAAGAATCAGAAGACAAAGGCTTTGAATTAAGTGAAAATTTTAAAAGAAATTTTGAATTACCAACCCTTTCAAGAATTAGTGTGGAAAATGAATAATCAGATGATACAGAAGAAGAGAATTTCGATGACCCTTCCGAAAGATCGAGTCAAGAGCCTGCAATAATTAATTTAACTAAAAATACCAGGCACTCTTTAGACGATAATAATACATTACCTAAACCAAAAAAGTGATTTTACATCCATAATTACTTATATTTTGTATTCTAAAATTTTGTTTTTTTCAATCCCGAAAAATGAATTGATATTTGATTTTCTTATGAAATTGAATTGTTTTTAAATATTTCTAAAATTAATATTTAAAGAAGGAATTAATTTTTAATATCTATATATCTAAAATAAATAATTGAAGATCATTTACAAATTTTTACTTCAATCTATATTTGGTTTGATAATAATAATATATGAGCAAAGTGTCAACATATTAATTTAAGTTTTCAGTAAATAATTTATAATAGTAAAGAAAGATTTTGTCTACATTAAATTAAAGTAATTCTTGTTTTAAGCTAAAAAAGATTCTTGTAATTTCTAATTTAAGTTCATTATCAGAATCATTTGTTCTTTTTTAGATTAGATATAAGTATTCTTTTTATGTAACTTGTTAATTGTTTATTTTAGAATCATTTAATCCTTATATCCTGTAAATCTATTGATAAGACAATTTTCAAACTTAATTCAGTTCGCTAATATTCGTATAGATATAATTTCTGGGTTCTTATTTTAAATTCTATCATTATAAAAACCACAACAAGGAGCAAACGATTTACTGTCTATTCAGAGGAACCACATCCATGCATTGGTTTTTTTGGATTTCTAATTAAAATTAAGAGTGTAAACCTATCCAATATATATTATCTGAGAAAATTATAATGAAATATTATAAACTACATGGAAATAACTTTTTTCTAGATTAGCAATAGAATAATCTTAAGCTGGTATGCTTTAGAGAGATTTATAAAAGGGCTTTATATATTTTTACAATAAATCAAACAAAATTGATGCAATTATAGCTCAGAATCTACTAAATATGTAATAATTCAAAGTTTGCTGAAGATTTCTTGATGGATTTAAGATAGTAGATATATGGTGAAAGTACAAGATTTGATTAATTAAGAACGCTCAAAACTTTTGGAGCCTGAACTTGAAGTGGGTGTAATTTAGATTTATTGATCTATTATTTCAAAGTTATGATTAGATTTATTGTTTTCATTTCAAAACTAGGTGTTGAATTGAATTTGTTGTATTTAAGGTAAATAGTTTTATGCAGAATAAAAAGGTATGAATTAGCATCCTATAAAATAACATAATATTTTAGATTTGATACTATTTATTTAATTAAATAATGGGATGCTGCGGAGCCAAAGCTGAAAATAAACAAATCGAAATGAGTAAAGAACAAAAATGTAAAAATGCTCATAATTATGGTAGCCCTTGCCATTAATAAATTTTAGGTAGGTCCAGATATCTTTATTAACTTAAAGCAAGGTGATATATCAGATAATTATATCATTAATAAAATCTTAGGAGAAGGTATCAAAATCTTTATCTTTAGGTTCATATGGTCAAGTAAGATTAGTCTAACATAAGAAATCTGGTCAATAAAGAGCCATGAAATAGATTTCAAAAAAGAAAATACTCAAAGATTAAGAAGAGGCAATGTTTAGTGAAGTGAATTTACTTAAAAATATGGATTATCCTTCCATTGTTAAATTATATGAATTATACTAAGACCGTCAAAATTATTACCTTATCACAGAATATCTTAATGGAGGAGAACTACTTGATAAATTGACTAAATTACAGTCTTTTAACGAAAGAATGGCAGCAGAATATATGAAGTAAGTTCTATCAGCACTTGCCTATTGTCATGCATAAAACATCATACATCGGTAATTAAACATATAAACAATTTAGTGATATGAAGCCTTCTAATATTATGCTTGCTTCCACAGATCCACAAGCTAAGATTAAAGTAATAGATTTCGGAACAGCTAAGAGATGTGTAACTGGTGAAACATAGACATAAGTAATCGGAACGGTAATTTTGATGTTAATACATAATAGCCGTTATATATTGCACCAGAAGTAATTGATAAAAATTATACGGAAAAATGTGACATCTGGTCATGCGGAGTAATTCTATACTAAATTTTAACTGGAAAATTTCCATTTGAAGTCAAAGTTTCAAGCTTACAACAGATTTTCAACAACATCAAATCTGGGAAATATAATTTTACATCTAAAGAATTTACTTCATTATCGTACGAGGCTCAGGAATTGATTAAGTCAATGTTGCAATTCGACCCAAATAAAAGACCCTCAGCTCAAAAGATCTTGGATGATCCTTGGATAAAAGAGAAGGCAAGAGAAGAAAAGATTAGCAAGGACGTTATGAATGAATTGGGCAAATTTAGAGTACTATTGATGTTTTACATATTAGAATGAAAGTAATATGAGAGCTGCCATTCTGTAACTAATTGCAGGGTCAGTTATGTCGAATGACGAAAAAGAGTAACTCACTTCAACATTCTAAAGTATGGATAAAAATAAGGATGGACAACTATCAAAAGAAGAATTAATTTAAGGTAATTTAGTTCTAAACCTAATAGCCTATACATAAGTATTTAATGATGAGTTGAAGGCTAAGCATTTGGTTAATGAAATCTTTGATTAAATAGACCAAAACAAATCTGGCAAGATAAGTTATACAGAATTTCTTGTGGCATCTGCTAAACAAAATATTATTCTTTCTAAAACTAAAATTGATTAAGCTTTTAAGATGTTTGACAAAGTAATCTCTGAATCTTATATAATGATAGGATGGAAATGGAGTTATAACAAAGCCAGAACTATAAGATATAATGTGTGGTATTGATATTGATAACACTGAATGGAGTTAAATAATATCCTAATGTGATAAAAATAATGATGGAAACATCTAATATGAAGAATTTGTATCCATGTTGTTGACAGTGGTCAATAAATGAAAAACAACCTAATCTATATTAATTATATTTGTCATTTATTCAATTTCTTCTGAATTTCCTTTATTTTATATATATAGTTAGTTTATATAACATTTTATGTATTTAAATTCTCTTGCCAAGAGTTATAACTATATTACAAAATACTTAAGCAATTATCAAAGTCTGTTTTAAATTTATCGCAAATCATTTGCTCAAAATTTTGATTCAAGAATTCTAAACATTTCTTTTGAATTGGCCTACAAAGTTGTTCTTAAATTTATTTAATATATTGTATTCATCTTCTTTTCCTGCTTGTTCTATTAGACCTAAGTTTTTCTAAATCAAAAATAAGAAATTCATGAGTCTATATTCCGACTTAGCCAATATTCACTCTTAAAAATCAAATTCTTTCAGTAAAAACATTGTCTTTATCTAAATAAAATGGAGCAATTTTTAATTCAAAAGAAAACACAATCATAATAGGATAATCTAACCTAGATACCAAGGATAGCTTTTCATTTCCAAATATATTATAGTCAGAACCTTTATATTTAATATCAAGCAAGTAACATAATTTAAACCTTATAATTTGAAGTATCAACAAACTAAAAGATGATCTAAACGAAAAAATAATGATTATTTGATTATTTTGTCCTTTAATTATAAAATATTTAATATTGATAATAAATGATATAATGAATGAATCATGATGGTTTTTTTGCTATCAAAGACATTGATTCAACTGTAAATGGAAGATTTAAAGCCAATCTATTTTATACTTCTTATTTGAATAATGCATAGAATTAATCGACTTATTCTTTTGGAGCTTTATCTAGAATTTCTCTAAATTATGGGAAAATGTAATTATCATCAATATCAAAAAGATCAAACGGAATTGTTTGATTCCAACATACTATTTAAATTAATCATTCTATTTATATACCTATATCTTTGAAACCATGTTTACTTATGAAATTTATCATTCCTTCTCTTGTTTCAATATCAGTTGGTTTATATGCATTATTTGGTATCAAACCAGCTTTTATAAAACACTATTATAAGGATAACATAAGAGAATTGCCTTATACAACAGGAATTACAATTCCTATTTTACCTCCAGGCTTTAAAATTCTAAAGGCTTCCTAAAGAGCCTAATCTTTATTTCCCACTAATTGCAATACTAAATTTGATATATAAATGTCAAATTAATTATCATTCAATTATGGTAATGATTAAACATCTCCTTAAAAGATTCTATAGTTGTTTTCCTCCAATAATGGGCAATCTATATAATAAGTGTCAAAAATACTTATATCAGCATTTTCAATTTCTTAAGGACTTATATCTTCAATTTAACCACTTAGAGGATTATTAAAATATTTAATCATTCTAGCTGCTGCAATTTTAATCATTTCAAGAGAAAAGTCAAATGCTATTAATCTGCAGTTCTTTTTCCTTTATTATAAAATGTATTAATGCAAATGGCCTCCAGCACAACCAGCATCTAGAATTCTTGTTTATTATAATATGATTTACTCATCTGCTTCATTCACTCTCAACATGTTGAGCAAAGTGAATTAAAATCCTGCTGGATTTTTTTCGATATTATGATAACTTTTACTATATGCATCCCAAACTTTAGGTTGATTCATAAATTGTTAAAGATATTTAATAAAAAAATAGCAAATGCTTATATAGAAATAATGAATCCGCTTAAATTATTTTATTATTAATTTAAATTTTCGTAAAATAAGTAATTATTAATGAAGAATAAAACAAATTAAGAATTTTGTATTTAAAATGTGATTTATCGGAAAACATAAAAGTACTTAATAAATTTCTTATTTTTTATAATAGAATATATCCAAATTTATGAACTGGAATTGAATAAATTTATTAAAAATTAATTTGTTGCTCTAGCACAAATAACTGAATTTTGCAAAAAGGAGAAATGAATTCAAATTTTTGATAATTATATAAATTTTAATAATAATTCATGATAAGACGTCCTCGATTTTTAAGTCCTTAAGAAAGAGTGAAATCCCCCCCTACTCAAGTAAACTTACATCTTCCACGCAAGTAGTCTCTTTTAATGTCTGTAAGAACTAATATTAATTAGACTGGTCCTTATGTATTTGATTGCTCCTAAATTATTGGAAAAGGATAATATTCTGTTGTGTATAAAGGATACGAATAGAATAAGCCGAATCAAGTAGTGGCGGTTAAAGTGATAACAATCTAACCTAACAATCCAATTCAAAAGTACATGATTGAAAACGAAATCAACACTCTTAAACTTTTGGATTCACCTCACATACTTAAACTGTTATATCATAATCAGAACAATAAAACTGTATTTTTAGTGACTGAATTTTGCAACAAAGGTAATAAATCTCAATAAATTGATAGGTGATCTTTTATAAAAATTATAACGATCTCTAATTTCAGAAGAAGAGGCATTACAATATACTCTACAAATTGCAAAGGCTTTACAGAATATTCATTAACATAATATAAGTAAGTTTGCATTCAAATATCGCTAGTGCATGGAGATATTAAATCTGCAAACATATTACTATCAGATAGATGTGTTTTAGCAGACTTTGGATTTGCATAGAAAATAGATTAGGCTTAATAAACGTTTATAATAGGAACACCTCTATATATGGCACCAGAAGTTCTCTTCGATAATGAGATCAATTGCTAAGCAGATATGTGGTCTTTAGGTTGTGTGTTATATGAGATGGTATATGGATAATCTCCATTTTATTCTGACAACAATGATATATTGAAAAATACATTATTAAAGTTCAAAGAACATGGTAAATTATCATTTCCAAATACTGGGGTTTCTAAGAAAATTTAAGCCTTAATCTAATACTTAATTAAAATAGATCCAAATCAAAGATTAACAGCTAGTGAAACTGTTTCTTTACTTGAACCAAGAAATGTTGATGAATAGATAAAATTAAATGAAAGCTAAATTAAAATTAAACAAGAACTATTAAACTTAGATGAAAAAGAAGCAATTGTTTAAATACCTTAATAATAATAATAATAGATCAACTTTAATGATAGCAATATTAATTCTAATTCATAATCAAATTAAACTCCTATTTAGGATATTCAATCTACCCCTGATAACTAAAAAAATACAAGGGACAACAATTCATAAGAGGAACATAGAAGAAGTACAAAAAATAGTAATTCAAGTGCTAAGAGGAAAAAACTATAGCAATAACTAAATAATATGAATTAAAAGAATATAGTATCATAAGTTAATTATAATCCTTCATAATAAAATTTGTAGTAAAATACTTAAAACTCTGAGGTAAAGAAAGTTCCATTAAAAACTCCTTAATATCCATCATAAATTAATCTGACTAATAACACCAACAATAATAACAATAACAAAAATAATAACAATAATAACTGTAATAATAATAATAATAATAATAATAATAACAACAATAACAACAATAATAACAATAATAACAATAACAACAATAATAATAACAATAATAATAATATTAATAATAATAACAAAAATAATGACAATAATCCTAATAATACTAGTTCAAATAATAAAACTATTTCGCTATTAGATTTGGTTAATTATTTTTATAAAGTATATTAATTAATACTAAATGGGAAAGAAATTAAGTTAGCTTTTATTTATCTAAAGCTTGTAAACATTTACTATTTAGCTTATTTGGAGGAATAGTCTAAATAATAGAAAAAAGTAATATTTGTTAGTTGCCAAAATGATTACTTTGAGTTAGAAAGGGAGATTAAGAATAAATATCCTTTATGGTTGAAAGAAGAGGAATTTTAAAAAATATTTCACAGCAAATTTACTCTTACATAAGATTTTCTAAGATATTCACTGAATTATTTGAATAAAGCAGCCGTTGATTAACAGCAAGATGAAAAAATAACAGAAAAAATTAAGAAAACTCTTCAAATAATACAAATTCTTGTATCGAATGAGAGAAGTAGCACACTTTAATTAGATTAATAGATTATACGGCTTCATAGACTTAATTCTAAAGTTTGATTTAATATTTTCTCATAATTTAAGTTTGACATAATAAAATTAATGAAATTTTTTACTGATTATTATATTTTGAGGTTGACATTTTTTTATTATTAAATCCTTTATTGTATGAATCAGATCGATTCTATATAAGGTGATATTTTGATTAATTTGTGAACATATAGTCTTATTCAATTGATTGAGAAATAAAAATTATGAAATGGAATTGTGCATCAAAATAATTAATACAGAAATGTATTGATATGTAATATCAATATGAATACAGCCACCCATTCTAATGTAGATTATATTAATTAAATTAAAATGTTAAAGCATGCCTTGAGAGTGATGTAAGTCTTTAGACCCAAATTATTGCATTGTGCACCTCTTCAAACAGTGTCAATAAGAGGACCTCTTTTTACTAGCATTCCTGTTAGTTATTTCTCTACATCCTTGCCAAAGCATAAGAAATTAGAAATGCCTGCTCTGTATTTTAGAAGTAATATAATTATAGATCACCAACAATGGAGACAGGCAATATTTAGAAGTACTTAAAGAAAATAGGTGATCCAATTACAGCAGGTGATGTACTATGTGAGGTTGAGACTGATAAAGCAACGGTAGGATTCGAAATGCAAGATGAAGGATTCTTAGCTCAAATCCTCGTGCCTGAAGGTAAATAATATTAAATAAATTAAATTAGGCTCAAAGGGAGTCAAAGTTGGGTAATTAGTTGCAGTAATTGTTCCAAAGTAATCAGATGTGGAAGCATTTGCAAATTTCAAAGATTCGCCAAATAAATAACCTGAGTAAAGTTAAGCTGCTTCAAAACCAGCTTCTCAAACTCAATAAGCTCCACCACCTCAACAAGCAGCATCTAGACCCACAGGAGGTGCACTTCCCAAACACTCCAAATTAGGCCTTCCAGCTTTATCCCCAACAATGGAGAAGGGAAATTTAATGAAATGGCTTGTTAAGGAAGGGGATAAGATAAGTCCTGGAGATGTAATTTGCGATATTGAAACAGACAAAGCAACTGTCGGATTTGAAGTTCAAGAGGAAGGTTACATTGCAAAATTAATGGTACCAGCTGGAACTAAAGATATCAAATTAGGAACTGTAAATTATGCTTTAATTTTAGATATTGGCAATCTCAACTCCAAAGAAGGATAATGTATCTAGTTTTGCCAATTATACTCTTGATGGTGCTGCTGCATCTGCTTAAACAACTTAAGCCCAACCAGCATAAGAATAATAATAATAATCTACCAATAGTGATACACCAATATAAACAGTTTCTTAATCTGGTTAAAGAATCTTTGTTTCACCACTCGCCAAAGAGTTCGCCAGAAAGAATAATGTTGCTTTAGAGTATGTAAAAGGTACCGGTATAGACGGAAGCATCGTGAAAAAAGATGTAGAGAGATTTATTCAATCTGGATCAAAACCTGAAGTCTAAGTATAATAATAGGCTGTCTAACCTCCTTAATAATCAAAATAAACTTAGGCTACTTCTTCAGAATAACCAGTTAAATAAACAACTTCACCTGTTGAAGCTAAATAATAAACTAAACCAGCAACCTCTTCAAAACCAGTTGCTATTGAAGGCAATCCATATGTTGACACAGAACTTACTAATATGAGATAAACAATTGCTGCTAGATTGTTAGAATCAAAAACAACAATACCTCATTATTACTTAACTATGACAGTCACCATGGATAAAGTCTTAAAGTAAAATCTATTTCATTATTAAAAGAGTGCGAGAAGAATTAAATAAACTATAAAAAGTTAAAATCTCTGTCAATGATTTCATAATCAAGGCAAGTGCTCTGGCATTGAAAGATATCCCATAAGCTAATTCATAATGGCATGGAACATATATTAGAAAATTCGCAAATGCTGATATTTCTATAGCTGTTGCAACTGATGCTGGTCTAATTACTCCAATTGTTTTTAACGCAGGCAGCAAAGGGCTTGGTACCATTGCATCCACAGTAAAAGAATTAGCTGAAAAAGCCAAAGCTAATAAACTTAAACCTTAAGAATTTATTGGTGGCACTTTTACCATCTCAAATCTAGGAATGTTTGGCATTGACTAGTTTATTGCTGTTATTAACCCACCTCAATCAGCCATTTTAGCAGTCGGAAAAACAAGTAAGAGGTTTGTTCCTGATGAACATGGTTAACCAAAGTAATTTATTCCATAATTTTAAGGGTTGAAAGCTAAATGGATGTTACATTATCTTGTGATCATAGAGTAGTTGATGGAGCTGTTGGTGCATAATGGTTATAAAGATTTAAATTTTATATTGAAGACCCTAATACATTATTGCTTTGAGCTTTATAAAATTTATAAATAAAAAATGTGTTTATATAAGGTTAACTGAGATTATCTCATTATATCTAAAATATAATTCAGATTATTTTTCAATATCAGGGTTCGATTCTAATCATTTATCATCTTACAATCTTAATCAAATTTCAGAAGATCATTCCAATTTTCCCTATGATTGTGTTTAAATAAGTTATTAAAAAGTTGCATATCTCTATAAAAATATGGCAATCTTTTTTTTTTATTGTAATATTATAATTCTAGAGGAATCACAAATAATAATTAAGAATTCAGAAATTTCTTTTTTATAATATGGTAATAAAATAATGACGAAATTGAATATTTACAATGATTTCATGAAAAGATAGTGCGCACCAATTTATCATTTAAATTCAACAATTCAAACTCAAAAATCTTAAAATTTTAATTCATGAATCACCACAGTTGGGATGCTTACAGCAAAAGTTATTTAAACATTTAAAAAAATCCAGCATCATTTTAACTATCCTTGATGAACATGTTGAGATTTGAAGAAGCAGAGGAGTAATAATTATAAATTAATTTTAGTATTTTAGATGCAGGATGTGCAGGTGGACAATTACATTAATACATCTTACAATAAAGGAAAAAGAATTGTAAATTGACTGGATGCGATTATTCTATTGAAATGGTCAAACTAGCCACAGCAAGAATGCTTAAATTTTTAAATAATCCACTCCAAGGAGGAATTTCAGAAATCAGCCCTTAAGATGTTGAAAATGTTGATCTAAGTATATTGGATATATCATCATTAGATAGTCCATTGTTAGAATAAAACAACTATAAAATTTTTCAAGGAGATGTCCAGTCATTACCATAATTGAATAATAATTAATTTGATATCTATATATCAAATATGGTGCTACATTTAGTTGAGAATAAAGATTAAGCAATATAGGAGGCTTTCAGAATACTAAAGCCTGGAGGCAAAATAGGAATTGTAATTCCAGTTGTTTCTGGAAATTTAATGATGCATACATTGACTAAATGCTTCATAGAATCTGGTTTAATTAAAGAAATGCCATTTAAACCAACAGATTTTGAAAATCGAGAAGGAATGATAAATTTCATAAGTAAACATGGTTTCAAAGATATAGGTATATAAATAGAATGATTAATTTAAATAGTATGTTGGAATCAAACAATTCCGTTTGATCTTTTTGATATTGATGATAATTACATTTTCCCATAATTTAGAGAAATTCTAGATAAAGCTCCAAAAGAATAAGTCGATTAATTCTATGCATTATTCAAATAAGAAGTATAAAATAGATTGGCTTTAAATCTTCCATTTACAGTTGAATCAATGTCTTTGATAGCAAAAAAACCATCATGATTCATTCATTATATCATTTATTATCAATAATTTAGTCATCTTTCTATATGTATTCAAGAATTACTCTTGATATAGCACAATATTTTTTTGAAAGCTTTCTTGATATTATATTTAGTGATATCTTCTGATGGATAGATATATGTGTTTAACGAAATATAGCTTTATATTAATCCTTAAATTTATTCGTTACGAATAATTTAAAGTAGACTTTGAGATAAAAATACAATTTAAAAATCTCTTAATATTCAACATTTTTATTGAATATTAAGAGATAAATAATCTTTTTCGTTTGATTTTTTTGATTAAAATAAGTTGATTGTATTGGTTTACTAATTGCTTTCTTTATCCATAAACTATTAACGACTAAATTAATTTACTTAGAAACATAAGGTGAGATCTTCTTTTTAATATATAAATGGGATTATTAGTTTATTTTAAATTTTATCAAAATATGATATTAGAAATAAAATAAACGAATTCATTTGAATTTGTAGTGCTGATATGATCTTGTTATAAATACCAATAAGCGAGAAATAGAGTAATTTTTAAATATGAATCAAAAATTATAATAAAAATGAGTCTAATTAATGATGAATTGATAATTTAAATCATTATACTGTTATAAAAATGTTTAAGATTGAAATGCCTTGCAAAAATCTGCAACTAAGCTTAAAAATATTTTTCTGTATTTTTAAGACTTTAAGGAATAGCGGGAATATCTAATAATTAAATTAATGTCCAAAAGAAAACCATAATTTGACATAGGAAAGAATGAAGATGATGAGGAAGTATTACCCTCTGTTGGCGTTATTAATACTCCTAGTGAAATTCAGGAAAGAAAGTAAATTTATATATATATAAAGAATTTTGAAGATCAGAGGACCAAAACAAAAAGAGAATAATTAAAATACAAAAATAGTAATAACTGCCCCACCTCCTTCATTTGAATAAGCAGGATCTGATTAAAAACTATCAACACCCCCTAAAAAGTTCTAACCAACAAACATCTTTAATTCTCAACAGGAAAAATTGTTTTTCAATACTTAGCCATTAAATAGTTTATAATTGCCATAGCAATAAAAAAGTAATATCGGATTAGTGAGTCCAATAATTGAATTTAAATCAATTCGAAAGAGTGATAAATCAATTGCTTCTCCAAATTAAGAGACTAATAAAACAAGTGAAATTTTGCATGTAAATTTTATGAAAATAACATAGAATAAATTAAAAAAAATAAAAATAGGAGATAAAGAGCATGAGAACAAAGACATAACTTTTACTATAGAAAAATTAGGAGAGGATCATAAAATAAAGATTGAGTATAATTATTTTATTAAAATAGGCCTGATATTTTTGAAGGATTAATTGAGAAAGAAAAAACAAAGAAAGAGAATAACATTGTTAGATTATAATGTAAAAAAGAAGCAGATTTACATGACTTACAACTAGAATTTGTTAATGAAAAAGACTATGAATCATTTATTTTATGATTTGATTTCAATCAATAATTCCTTTTCTTTTATTTCTACTTGCTAGTCTTTTTTTGATTAAAAATAAATTTTATTTTTTTTAATTAGATCTTAAATATTATCTTTCCTAACTTACTGTACTCAACAATATCTTATTATTTATTTTGTTTTCACTGAATATGTTTCTAAACTTTAAGACAACATTTCAGGATTCTTGGGAATTTTTGAGATATACAATCACTCAATTTATTAATGAGATCAATTATCTTTAATGATTAATTTAAATCTATCAATAACTTCATTTTAAATTGCTACTTCTATTGAAGGATATAATTTGATTATATTAATGAGATGAATATATTTAGATTCACAAAAGTAGTATAGAAAATAATATTCTTTTCAGTATAAATAAGATACAATAATAATATTTTTTAAGAAATGGGCGGAGGAATTCTTATGTGATATGGGTAGTCTTGATAAAAATTGATTTAAATATATAAAGTTGATACTCTATTTTAAGGATTAAGTTGATAATACTAGTTATTTTAATAATTGTGATTTTGAATGGATAGATTTACTTGTATTTGAATGTCAAGAATGGGAATAACTATTATTAATAATCCAGATATAGAGTTGCATTGAAATATGTTAATTCTGCATAAAAGAGGAGCTAAGAAAGCAAAATCATTATGAATCCTAAAGATTTAGAAGTTTTTTCAAGGTTAAGTAAATATTAGATAGGCTTAAAAGTGTTTTGAATAAAATCTTATCATTATCCTAATGATGAATTCATTTTTCTAAATCCATCAGATTACATTCGTTTTTTTTTCTCATAATCTAACATAAACATTTTCCTTTTCTCTTCTGCTTCTTTTCTTATCTGATCTGCCAATTTACTAATTTATTCCCTATCTTTTCTCATCTATTAACATTTTTCTTCATCCTTAGTCATCTTCTATTCCAATTTCAATCTTCGATATCCACTTAATTATTCCATTCTCCTAATATTATCCTCGGTGTCTAATTCTTTTATAATTTATTAAGTAATTCTAGTCTTATTCTATATAATTTTACCTGTATTTGTTTTCAAATTCCTTTTTATTATTCAAACTACTAAGTTTCTATTGAGTTTTATTCAGTTTTTATTCTAAATCATTCCTCTATTGTTCTTGCATAAATTCATTATTAAATAATATTAGTTTTATTTTTTTTTCTTTTTCTTCATATCTCCTAATCTTTTCTTCCATTTACTGTTTTTAGAACTCATCCATTAACTCCTTCTTTTTCAAATATTCTTATTGCTTCTCATCATATTTTTTTCTTTTTTCTTCCTCCTTATTAATATTAATTTACTTAAAATTATACTATTTTTTACCATAATCTTATTAATTTGCTATTACTTATCAAGATTTTATTTTTACTTCTGCTACTTCNCTCAACAATATCTTATTATTTATTTTGTTTTCACTGAATATGTTTCTAAACTTTAAGACAACATTTCAGGATTCTTGGGAATTTTTGAGATATACAATCACTCAATTTATTAATGAGATCAATTATCTTTAATGATTAATTTAAATCTATCAATAACTTCATTTTAAATTGCTACTTCTATTGAAGGATATAATTTGATTATATTAATGAGATGAATATATTTAGATTCACAAAAGTAGTATAGAAAATAATATTCTTTTCAGTATAAATAAGATACAATAATAATATTTTTTAAGAAATGGGCGGAGGAATTCTTATGTGATATGGGTAGTCTTGATAAAAATTGATTTAAATATATAAAGTTGATACTCTATTTTAAGGATTAAGTTGATAATACTAGTTATTTTAATAATTGTGATTTTGAATGGATAGATTTACTTGTATTTGAATGTCAAGAATGGGAATAACTATTATTAATAATCCAGATATAGAGTTGCATTGAAATATGTTAATTCTGCATAAAAGAGGAGCTAAGAAAGCAAAATCATTATGAATCCTAAAGATTTAGAAGTTTTTTCAAGGTTAAGTAAATATTAGATAGGCTTAAAAGTGTTTTGAATAAAATCTTATCATTATCCTAATGATGAATTCATTTTTCTAAATCCATCAGATTACATTCGTTTTTTTTTCTCATAATCTAACATAAACATTTTCCTTTTCTCTTCTGCTTCTTTTCTTATCTGATCTGCCAATTTACTAATTTATTCCCTATCTTTTCTCATCTATTAACATTTTTCTTCATCCTTAGTCATCTTCTATTCCAATTTCAATCTTCGATATCCACTTAATTATTCCATTCTCCTAATATTATCCTCGGTGTCTAATTCTTTTATAATTTATTAAGTAATTCTAGTCTTATTCTATATAATTTTACCTGTATTTGTTTTCAAATTCCTTTTTATTATTCAAACTACTAAGTTTCTATTGAGTTTTATTCAGTTTTTATTCTAAATCATTCCTCTATTGTTCTTGCATAAATTCATTATTAAATAATATTAGTTTTATTTTTTTTTCTTTTTCTTCATATCTCCTAATCTTTTCTTCCATTTACTGTTTTTAGAACTCATCCATTAACTCCTTCTTTTTCAAATATTCTTATTGCTTCTCATCATATTTTTTTCTTTTTTCTTCCTCCTTATTAATATTAATTTACTTAAAATTATACTATTTTTTACCATAATCTTATTAATTTGCTATTACTTATCAAGATTTTATTTTTACTTCTGCTACTTCACATAATCTAAGAATTGCTCAAAATCTTTTCTTTTTGCTTCTACTTAAGCCTCTCTTTTTAAATAATCTTGTCTTTTCCTCTCCATTATTTCTTCGTTATATTTTCTAACTTTTTCTAGTTTTAATTCAAATTCCTTTCTCTCTAGTTCTGCAAATTTCTTTCTCTCCTCATTCTTGAATTCAATTAATTACAATCTTTTTCTCTCTTTTTCTTCTATTAGTTATTTTTTTTATTCCTATAATTTCTATTATTCTAATTAAAATTATTCTTATTCTCTTAAAATCTAATCCTACCTTTATTTTCTATCTTTCTCTTTAAATTCTGCTTCCAACTTAGCTCTTTAGATACTTTCGAGTTCCCGTTATTTCCTTTTTTATTCTTTGATTTCGTTCTCTTTTATCTTTTGTTCTTATAATTCTTTTTCTCTTTATTCTTTTTTTAGTTTTTCTTTTTCTAATTATTGTTTTTTCATTTCATTATACTCTCTTCTCCTTTTTAATTCCTCTTGAAATTGTTGCTCTTTTAATTGTTATTTTAGTAATTTCTATTGCATATCCTTTTCTTATTATTCTTTAAGTTGTTCTTGTTCAATCATTTTATCAATTTCCATTTATTACCTTCTTTTAATAGTCTCTAATACTTTTGATTGTTTTTCTGCATAGCTAATTGAACTAAAATTTAATTAGGATTAATTATGTGTACTCTTACTTCTTGGTCCATTTTCTTAAAGTATTTTTTATCTTTATGCTCTCACAAGATCTATCTTTTATTTTCGTTTTTCTTCCAAATGCTTTTCAATCTCACAAATAAAATCATCTGTAAGAGATGGATCTTTTGATTTTACCATTTAAACGACTTATGCTTTAGTTTTTCTTATAAGTTCATTTTCATGAAAGCCTTCTCTTCTACAAGCTTCCAAGAACCTCGGAGTCAAAATTTCTGTCGTAATATCATATGTATGCATTATTTTTATTGTTATATTAAAAAAATAATTTATGCTTTCCTAATTATTTAATTAAAAATAATCAAAGCAATATGACTTAATTTTGCAAAATTTTTACATTCTTTGAAAAAAACATAAAAGTTCATATAAATAACATAAAAATTTATTAATAATTCCTTTAATTTTCAATTAAAAATTTCTTATAGCTGCTATGTTTTGGGATTGAAAAAATTTAATCAAAATCATAAGTATGGAAATTGTTACATAAAGATAGTGCATTTTGTAGGAATATTTTATGCTTCTCTACTGTTACAAGTAAGAATTAAAGGAGTCATTGATCTAGGTCTTATGTCATAGACTTAGTTAGGTAAGAGGTTGAACGAAACAGAATGCTTTCGACATCTTTCTGAAAAGTTGTTCCATAACTGGTGATTTTGTTTTTTTGATTTTAAAATGCTTCTTGGTTGAGTTTTTTTTTATACTGGTTTATTATGTGACTTCTAACTTTTTTTTTATGACCGTTCATCTTTTTTACTTTTTTCCTTAATGAAAGCGTAATTTAGGGGTTCATCCTAAATTCTGTTTAGATTGATTTTGTATTGAATTTATTATTCGCCAATTAAATTTAAGGAGGGACACTGTGGTATTATATTTGTTTAAATATCAACCAAATCTACCCTTTCTATCTTAATTTTGCTAGAACAATTGTTTGTTATGTTTTCGTTTGTAATATCAAATAGAAATTCATTTTTAAAAAAATCTTCTTCAAATGTATCTAAATTTTATGATAAGTTCTAAATCTGAGGATGTAGAATTAATTTATTAGGCTACTTTAAATTCGCATAGCCACATATGCGAAGCAGTTTTCCTTTTTAGTTTACTGTCTAATTTTATGGTAAACAAATATTGCCCATTAAAATAATCAAGAAATATATTAAAAAAGAGTTTTATAATAATATATAAGAATTTATATTCTCAACATTAATTAACTTATTATAAATAAAATAATTTAATGAAATTACCTTTTCAAATGAATTATTTTTCACCATTAAACCAATGACTTATCTTAGGATAAATATATGGTCAAAAAAAATTAACTATAGTAAATACAATAACATTATAATCAATCTATTAATAATTTAATCATTCTGTTTTGGGTTAGTTGTTATTATCATCAACTACTTATTGAGCTAATTCATACGAAATCTTGAAACAACTAGGATTTAACACTATTATTACTTTTTAAATGTAAAGACCTTACATTGAATTTCATTCTTGTATAAAAGAATCTATTAATCCGTTTATTAAGTATTTCCAATTAATCATTACTCCCGCTTTAATTATAGATTGAATAGAGAAGTTTAGTAAGAATAAAGCTATTCAATAGAATTAAAAGAAAATTTTATTTTATATATATATTATGAATCATTTCATTCAATTGTATCTAATTATTGATATTTCTATTGAATTTCTAAAATTTCCAAGGGCAGCAATTCAAAAAGACACTATTAAGTTTAATATCTTGAAATAAGCATAATTAATACTTAAGATAGACTCTCAAAGATTGTTCATTAAGAAGTTTATAGCTCATCCATAAAATATCTAATTATTAGAATGATGTATTACTTTGAATTTCTTTTTTATTGTTGTTTATCAAATTATCTAACTCAACAAATGTGTGTTTAACTTTCGAATATTATTTGGCTTCTAAAAATCTGAGTTTTATAGTATTTTTCTCAGTTTCCCAATGCTCTTTTATTTTTTCGCATCCTTCTCCATATTTAATAACTGATTCCTTGGGGAAAATGGCTAATTCAATAGCCATTTCAGTGAACCTGGGTAATGTGAGATACTTATCCCCTTAATCATCAGCAAAGTCAGCGTTTTTTAAAAAAACCTATAACAAGCTTTCATTTAACTCCTATTAAGTGTGGATTGCTCTAAAAAGAGTTTTAAACTATTGTTTATTATATATTTTTACTTCTTAGTATTCAATTAATTTATTTCCATCTAAATCTGCAGCTTTAAATAATGTTTCCAAAATATTTTAATAGTCCTTTTTATTAAATATATAAAAATCTAAGATTTTCATTATAAATTAATCAAAATTAATAGTATGTTTATTGGATCCGTATTATTAGATTAAGACTTTATACTAAGTTTATAGTTGTTGTATTTAGTTGGCTTGCAACCAAAGTTAAGATTTTTCATTTAAAAATTCGCTTGCTGATTCATAGGTAATTAGAAATTCTGTTTTATTGGATTCAATTTTATTATTGAAAAATACAAAGGCTTCAATCAAAAGTTTTTGAGCAACTTCATCAATTTCGTTTTTTAAGTTACAATATTTTGAAATTAATTAAACCTTTGTATTCTTATCTTTCTCGATTATGATAAATTCATAAATCTTTAAGATAATAATAATGAAATACTTATTTTATTTTTTTTTCAGCAACTTATTTAAACCCATATTTATTTTTTATGAAATCATAAATACAAACATGAAATGGTATTTTATAAGCTTCACTTTACTTTGAAACTTCAGTTAATATTTAACTTATAATTTTGTTGAATTAAAGAAAAGATAGAGTTTTAGTTAAATTTTTACTGTTAATCACTTATTTAAGTAAATTATTAGCTACATCAGTATTTTAACTATAAACCCTTCTAAACTTTTTAGGTTGTTTTGTTTCTTAGAGTAAATTATAATTAAGTGTTTTGTGAACAAAGGAATCTAAATAATAAGAAATAAGAGTTACATTTTGAAAATTGCTTATCTTTATATTACGATATCACATCTTTAATTCTTTGAGAACGATTTTTTTCATCAACCTCTGATTCTGCCAGACTTCTATAGCTTTGGCTCATTTACGAAATTTCATCCTTCTCTCTTATGGGACTATTGCTTATATTATGTTTAGAATTTGCTTTACCAGGCTTCATAGAATTATTGTCTAATAAATTTTTGCTATTTCTTAGATGATATTATTATTGATTGATAGTCTTTGGATCTCCCTACTATTATATTCTCTAAATTGATTTTTAATTTGTGAGACTACCCTTTATTGAATTTTTAGTTGCTGCTGTAGGTGATTTCAATTCGTAATTTTTAGATAGAGTGTTTTCATCCAATTCTTTATTTTTAATTTTTTGATGGGAACTTATTAATAGATCAGATTTTGAATTATCAGAAGGTATTAAATCTCTAGAATCTTTTAACATTTCCTCATCGTTAAATTCCATATACGACGACTATTTTTGACTGTTATCCATATCTTATAGGTATCTAATATCTTTATGGTAGATTTAATTATCAAAACAATTCTCCATTTATTCCTGTTAATCATTATTATTAGTTTCTGAGTCAGCATTCTAATAATTTTAAGATTTTTAAACAACTTTTTTTTTGAGATTGATTGAATCTACCATTTTGATTGTTACCTCTTTTGAACGCATGTCATCATCTAAATTTTAAGATTCCTTACCCGGACTGAATTCATTATCATATCCATCTTGATCCATGTCATTCAGATCATTATTATTTTAGCATTCTTCCTCTTCAATTGCATTGACATCATTAATTTTGATTTCATATTTACTTTCAATTTATTTCAAAGTCCCAATCAACTATGTATTTTTTGTCACTAATCTGTGCACTTTCTTTTTGTTATTCGAGATTATGGAGATAAAATCTTAGACCGTTTATTGCAGTTTCATCTCTAATTCTTAGCAAAGATCCTCCTTTTCCAATATTTCCATTTTTTATATTGAATCTAATCTATTCATTGTAATCAATCTCATTGATAATGATTTATTTTATTCGCAAACTTCTTTACTTTCACTTAGTGTTCTGCATAACAATAACTTTTTACTCTCATCTAATCCTTGTTCTTCTAGCATTTTCAAAGCCATTGATATTTTTTATTCCAAATCATTAGATACTTTTTTGGCCTTCTCCAGAGATGCTGTGCTTTACAATTGGAAGTTAGAGTGTTAATTCCAAAGTTGATCATCATCTGTTTGTACATATTTATCGGTTGTTCCACTTATTTATACTATTTTATTTTATGATGGCTGTTGATCTTTATCAAAATCTAAATATTTTAATGATATGATCTAAGATTTCAATTAATTTTCTTAATTCCTTAGTTATTCCCATCTATCAAAGATTACACTATTTTTCTTAGGTGATCTGCCAGGGGATTTGCTGCCTTATGATTTGAATGGAGATTTGATTCTATACTTCTAATCATTATCAATTTTAGCTTAAAAATTCATTAAATGTGAAACTATCGACTACCCTTATTGCACTTTGATATTAATTTTCTCATTTTCTGGATTGTTATCATTAATTTATTCTGTTTTTAACATAACAATTTATAATTGCAATTCATCTATTTATTTTCTATGTTACTCTATTATTTCAAGTGCTTCTCTGTACTCCTATGTTAATTGTAATATCTCTTCCTTTTGCTGTTAATCAACATCCAAAGCTCGATCATAGTCAAATTGTATCTATTTGATTTGGTTCTTGCTTTCATTATATATTTGTTCTTGATAATGGAGTTGTTCATTATAAAAGTTCTGCTAATCAATCATTTTATTTTTCATTTCTTATTCAACAATTTGCATTTATTAATTTGAACTTTTGATTACTTAATCAATCAATTGGATATAAAAGTCCCATATAATTTAGAGTAATTCTCCTCTTTCCACACATTCAGCTTTGACTTGTCTACATTGTTAATTAATAGTTACTTTATAATTTCTTTAAAACAAGATGTGTATATTAATTGAATTTCTTCAGCTATTTAAATAGCAGTTAAACTTTTGCTTTTGTCCTTCGTTCTTTAAAGCATGAAGAACAACCACTCTTTCAAATCCAAAGCTTATTATCTATTCGGTGGAATAACTGATAAATTTGGTGATTGCTTGATTTCATGTTTCAAAATATCAAAAAAGTATTTTTACAACCCATTCTCCATCAAATTCTTATCTTTTAACAAATCTTCAAAGTCCAACCATTCGCTCTTGATAGTAGTCTTTTCAATTTTATTTTTGAATTGTAATCTGTTCTATGATTTTCTGTACATTGTACTATAAAAACTTTGTAAAGATTTATCATATTTCTATAACCAATAAATATTGTTTTTACTGTTTAAGATAGTTCTGGATCTTTGTAAATGCTGCTTTCAATGGATTGGAAATTTTTATGTTTATTTTTGAGATAAGAAACATCAGAATTTGTTTAAAAGTGTTTATTTGTAAAATCAGTTTTCATTCGGTTTTATGACATTTCCGCTCTTATCGTTAAAGGTATGCTTGAATTGATACTCTAATCCCATTCTGTCCTTATTAAAAGTTTTGCCTATATTTATATAAAAATACTGTACTGTTGATTATGCCTTTTAGATTTTGGGAAAACTATTCGTATTATTCATTATAAAAATTTATATATATTATATAGACTGTCTAATAATTTTAATTAAAAGAACATTAATCTATGTTCATATATTATAAGATTAGAAAGATATTCAAAATTAAAATTTTGTGAATAAACCCCCGAATATCATGCCATAAACAAATTGCAATCCTCTTGATATACTCATTTACTGGAATTCAACTTCCTATAAACCAGTAGATTATCCTTTTTAATAACACAACTATCCAACAAATATTAATTGATTATATATACCATCTTAAAATTGTTTGCATTTAATTGAAAACTTGAAGATCTCTTGCTAACAATGTATCCCATAATATTGCACAAGAGAATCATTTGCTCATGTATTCCTATAACAATTTAGTAAATTCTTAATTTATAATTACATTATTCAAATTCTTTCTTTCATTGCTATCTTATTCATTTAAATTAACAATAAAACTATATAATTAATAAAAATCTTAGTCTCTTAAAGAATAGAATAATTTGCTTATAAGTTTGTGTCCTTATAAAATAGAAAAAGTATGTTTTCTAGTATCAGATGTTTTTAAAATTCATGAAAAATTAGTTTTGTTTTAAACACCATATTGCATCTTATCATGCTCAACTCTACTTAAAGCATTTTTATAAAGAATTCCTCGAAATAGATATTATTTAAAACAGTGGTATTTTCTTTAATGTCTACTACGATATTATTATATTAACAAGTCTCTATTTTTAATTATATAAAAAACAGATCCCGCAATAAATCTATGACTTGTAGAACAGTAAGGTTAATTTATCAATTAATATGACTATTTCAGTTTCAAAATTAACAAGAATTCAAATATTTTGGATTTAAATCTATTACTAAAATAACTATATCAATATAAATAAATCGTGATGGGGAATATTATTTAATGCTCATTAAAACCTAATCAATAATAGCATAATATTTTGCTGATGTTTAGCATTGTTTGGATTTGAAATTTAAAAATCATAAATTCATTAGAAAATTAAGATANTATGATTTTCTGTACATTGTACTATAAAAACTTTGTAAAGATTTATCATATTTCTATAACCAATAAATATTGTTTTTACTGTTTAAGATAGTTCTGGATCTTTGTAAATGCTGCTTTCAATGGATTGGAAATTTTTATGTTTATTTTTGAGATAAGAAACATCAGAATTTGTTTAAAAGTGTTTATTTGTAAAATCAGTTTTCATTCGGTTTTATGACATTTCCGCTCTTATCGTTAAAGGTATGCTTGAATTGATACTCTAATCCCATTCTGTCCTTATTAAAAGTTTTGCCTATATTTATATAAAAATACTGTACTGTTGATTATGCCTTTTAGATTTTGGGAAAACTATTCGTATTATTCATTATAAAAATTTATATATATTATATAGACTGTCTAATAATTTTAATTAAAAGAACATTAATCTATGTTCATATATTATAAGATTAGAAAGATATTCAAAATTAAAATTTTGTGAATAAACCCCCGAATATCATGCCATAAACAAATTGCAATCCTCTTGATATACTCATTTACTGGAATTCAACTTCCTATAAACCAGTAGATTATCCTTTTTAATAACACAACTATCCAACAAATATTAATTGATTATATATACCATCTTAAAATTGTTTGCATTTAATTGAAAACTTGAAGATCTCTTGCTAACAATGTATCCCATAATATTGCACAAGAGAATCATTTGCTCATGTATTCCTATAACAATTTAGTAAATTCTTAATTTATAATTACATTATTCAAATTCTTTCTTTCATTGCTATCTTATTCATTTAAATTAACAATAAAACTATATAATTAATAAAAATCTTAGTCTCTTAAAGAATAGAATAATTTGCTTATAAGTTTGTGTCCTTATAAAATAGAAAAAGTATGTTTTCTAGTATCAGATGTTTTTAAAATTCATGAAAAATTAGTTTTGTTTTAAACACCATATTGCATCTTATCATGCTCAACTCTACTTAAAGCATTTTTATAAAGAATTCCTCGAAATAGATATTATTTAAAACAGTGGTATTTTCTTTAATGTCTACTACGATATTATTATATTAACAAGTCTCTATTTTTAATTATATAAAAAACAGATCCCGCAATAAATCTATGACTTGTAGAACAGTAAGGTTAATTTATCAATTAATATGACTATTTCAGTTTCAAAATTAACAAGAATTCAAATATTTTGGATTTAAATCTATTACTAAAATAACTATATCAATATAAATAAATCGTGATGGGGAATATTATTTAATGCTCATTAAAACCTAATCAATAATAGCATAATATTTTGCTGATGTTTAGCATTGTTTGGATTTGAAATTTAAAAATCATAAATTCATTAGAAAATTAAGATATATTGTGACAACAACAGTATTTATGGAAATTTATTGTAATTAAAATAATGAACAATCTTTTCGATAAATGATTAAAATTTATTTAATAAAATTTTGTGATTTTGACAAATAAATGTGCGTAAAATAATTTATTTGTAATTTATTCTAATGATAATAATTTTAAATTAATGCAAATGGATGAGAGCAACAAAACCAAAAAGAACGATTAGCCAATCTTAAAGGAAACGTCCAAGAATAGAAATGTATAGATTTCATATATTCTCAACAGATAATAAATAAATTGCAGGGAAATCCCTCCAGATTGCAAGGTCTAAAGGAAAGTTTCAAGTACTTCACCTTATTGAAAAAGAATCAGTATTTAGAGAGAAAACAATTTCGAGTGAGCAGAGATGAAACTCTGGTTTGCTCCTGTATTTGTTGTCCTGAAGATCAAATATCAAGGTAGAGGATTGTGTTAAATTTAGTCGTATCTAAGGACCATAATACTCGTATAATTGCGGTGATCGATGTTTAAATAAATTCACATGTACGGAATGCGATGTCGAACTGTGTCCATGTGCAGAACTTTGCAAGAATAGAAGATTTTAAAAGCATGAGGATGCTTGCGTGTATCCGCTAAAATGCGGAGGAAAGGGAATGGGGTTGTATGCTGGTGACCGCATATAAAAAGGACAATTTATAATGCAATATATTGGAGAGATTTTCTAGATAAATAGTGCTTTGGGGAGGAGGAGAGTGCAGGAATATTCGGTTTGAATTGTGTGTTTATTTAGAAATCGACATGTACATATTTAATGAAACTGAATAACTAGGAAGTTATTGATCCAACAACCAAAGGTAATTTGGCAAGATTCATCAATCATTCCTGTGAACCAAATTGCATAACAGAGAAATGGAATGTGTTGGGGGAGGTCTGCATTGGTATATTTGCAAGTCGTGATATAAATGAGGATGAAGAATTAACATTTGATTATCAATTCGATGTTTTTCATACTCCCTTGACCAAATGTTTATGTGGTGCCGCAAAGTGTAAGGGTTATTTAGGATTGAAACCAACTGATGTTACTCAGGAGGAGTGGGAAGAACATTTGGAAAATATGGTGTGTAAAATATGTTAAACCAAAACACCATAAGATGATGAGTAATTGTTATTATGTGATAAATGCAATTGTGGATTTCATTTATTGTGTTTGGTACCTCCTTTGGAGTCAGTCCCTAAGGATGCTTGGTACTGTCAAGAGTGTTAGGATGAAAAACGCATTTTGGAAGAATAGGAAAAAGAGAAAACTAATCTGGAGAGAATTCAACAAAGGAAAGTCAAATCTTATAATAATGAGAAAAAGTAGAAAAAGAAAAGGGAAGAACTCTCATCCTCATCATGCAGTGATTCTGACAGTGAATATGATAATAGATACAAAATTATGAAGTCTTTAGAAAAGCAAACTGTAAGAGAATACTTGTCACTCAAATAACCACAATAATATCTATCAACTAGACAAGATGAAGAATTAAAAAAGGAAGAAGACAATAACACATCAGAACTATAAGTACCTTCAGCACCCCTTCCTGGGAAATCGTATTATCAAAGCGATTAATTTAATAAATCATCCCTTGAGGCTCAACCTTAAGATTCGGGGAAGTTGTAATAAATGCAATCTATTGTTGACGTGGCCTAATAGAAATTCGAAGAATAATACAAGGAGAGGTTAGAATTGCATGAGCAAATCGAAGCCCTTCAATAATAGAATGTCTTGAATATTGATATGATTAAGGAATGTTTCAAAATCAATATACTGGAATAGAAAGTAGTGAAGAAGAATGCCCAATTAATTTATAAGATTGGAAACAAGATCAGTTTTGAACAGATTGATCAATAAGTTGCTGATTTCTTCAAAAAGGAAAACAACCTTACAGTAATAGGGTCTATCTAATAAATCAACATCTTTAGATCTATATTGAATATGGTGGAACAAATAATTAAAGAACTAAAGAGAGAACTAGGGATTATAGAAGGATAGATTAAAGTTCCAATCATTTATTTGAAGAGATTAATCAACAAATTGTAATTAATATTAGTGTTATTCTTTTAGCAATAGTTTAGACAATAAATAAGAAGTCAATATCATCTACAACAAATCGTTAGCACACAGTGAAGAAATATTCCCTATGGACAAAGCCACTCCAATTAAAATTAAAGGATCTAAACAAAATATAGAATAAACTGTTTCTGAAATTAGGAACACCCTAAAAACTCTATGTGTTCAAAGATTGTACATCAGTCGAAGTGAAACTAAGTCTGTTTAACAGAATATGTTTCAATTGAAGTAAAATGCTGAAATCAGAATTTCAAGAGATTCTGTATACAATGCAAGAGGAGAACAAACACAAAGAGACATTAATCACCCCTTCTTCTATATTTAATACAGAGAGAAAGAAGTTTGTCTGATTGGAACACTATAATAGATACAAGAGACAAGCACTGCCATTAAGAAACTATTGGAATAAGAAGCTAATAACGAAAAGGAAATGACATACTTTACTGTCTTGATCTCTCCCTAATATAAAGAATCTTGCAAATAGGTCAAATAAATAATTGAACGAAGTTCCTCTTCTACAAAGGTTCTGCTTTTTGAGGCTTCTCATCCTAGAAAGAATATGACAATTTTGGTACTATGTTTGAGAAATTAGATTGTCTAAACAAAACAAAACTTCTCAGATTTGATTTATTAACAATGCTAATTAAAACTAGATTAGTTCTAAGATTAGATGTCAATGCAGATGTGTAGATATGTGTTCAAATACCTTTAAAATACAATGATGACTAATGACATGGCATTTATGAAAAATTGGGATCTCATCACTCCTTATTTCTATCAATTCAATATCATGAAGTATAGGGAATCGAAATTCGAGAATTGGTTTGTTAAACGATGCTATTCCTCCCTTTTAAGAGATTACGAAACTCAATTATATATACAGTATTGCTTAGGTAAGGAAATCCAAAAGAATTTAACAGATCATGAGTAATTTTTAAGGAAAAAGAACCTAATTCAATTAACTAAAAGAATTCTCTATGCTATTCTAGGCTTTAAGAGATATCCCACTGATCAAGCCACTCTAGATAGTGGACAATAATAATAATAATAATAGGATACTATAAAGAGATTCAATAATTAATTAGAAGAGGACAATCTGAAAGTGCCCAATCTCTCATTGATATCCTTGCAAGCCCAATATACTTAAATAAACAAAAAAGGTGATACTAAAAAGGAAACCAGTGAAAGAAGTCAATCTGATTCGAGCAAAGTATAAAAAAAGTAAAGTAATTCCGAATCAGACAAAAGCAGAGACTTCTCTACCAGATAAAGACACAAATATCATCATCATCATCACAAATATTATAATTACAATCAAAAAAGTCCAACTGAAAAATATGTTAGACACAAATATGACAAAACTGATTATTATGATAAATCAAAATCAAGACATAGATATTAATCTCAAAAACAAGATAAGTCTAGGGATGCAAATAAAAGATATTATGAGGATGATCTTTCCAGAAACAGATTCCATAATAAAAAAAGTATTCTTATTGTATTCATCTTAGGATCAAGCAGCGAAGACTCTGATAAATCACAAGAATAAAGAAGAAAAAGATAGGAATCTGTAGATTCTGATAAATATAAAAATAATAAATATTATAGTGGGTTTCAATATCAAAGGAGGCATACTAAAACTAACAAATATGATTATGAAAGTAGATATTATTTTCAATTATAGAATCTTCCAAGAATTTTGAAACCAAAGATCGTTCTCGCTATTAAAGTAAAGATCGATCTCGATCCAAGTAGAGAAATAAATCTGAAAGCAGTGATAGCTATAAAAGAAGATCTACTCATAAATCAAAAAAGTACTCTAGGAAATATTGATGAAAAATAAATTTTAAACCATGTTATGTTATATATTTAATCTGTGTATATTGTATACCTACTTCCATAGATAATCTTGATTATAAACATTTTTGTTTGTCAATTTCTTATGAAGTTATTAGGATACAATTACAATCCCAAAGATATAAGATCATATAATTTAGTAATCTATAGGGATGTAAAATATCTTCAATGTATTCACATAATAAAAGAATAAAAATTGCAAATCTACTTTTAAATAAGGTTTACTTGCAACTTTAATCTTGAATGATTTAAAAATTAAATTAAATCATAATATTAAGAAGTAAAAGAATATTAAGATAAAATTGGATTGATCAAAAGATGATTCTTAAAAATGGTTCAATCATAGATTTGTTATTTTAAGCTAAAAATTTAGAGATGTCAGTAAATTGATATATTATTCCTTTTAATTTGTAAATACTATAAACTATTGTATCCCCTTTAAAATATCTTTAAATGATATATATATCAGAACTAGAAGACAATTATTATAATTTAAAGGTTTTTTATTTTGTATTTATATAAATAACAATAAGAAATATTAAATATAATAAAATTTATGGATTTAGACTTTATCTTTTTCCCTGCCCCAAAAGAAATATCTAACGATCACGAACATGGACAAATATTGTGGATTCCAAAATATCCAAAACTCTATCCTACTTTCCAAAATTATGTACCAAGAACAAACAAGAAGAGGGGGGTTTTCTTCAAATAAAGTGAAATAGATTTTGATGATGATCATTTCTTAATTGATGAGCCCACGTAACATATACATTTCTAGAGATTAGAGAATCTTAATTGCAGCCAATACCAAATTTTTAATGGAAACCCATTACAAATAGATAACGAAAGCGATAAACTACTGACATAAACTCACCCACATTTGATTCTAGTGAGGGTAGTCCAGATGTTCAACAAAAATTACAGAAACTAAATATGCAATCTGTTTAGATTATCACAAAAAAACCTCAATTGTGTAGAATGTCCTCAAATCTTTACCCCATTAAAAGGACAAGAGTCAATCAGAGTATTTGCTTCAGTTAACCACTTATCAAATTACCCTAAGAATTGATTGATCTCAATTAAAAAAAAAATTAAAATGAATTTGATGATGAATAGCCTCCTCCAAGATCAAATTCAAGGGAATCCCATCAAATCAATGGCTATATTCCTTGCATGTATGTGGACTCAAAAAAACATTCCCCCAACATTTTGATCTATTTTCATGCCAATTGTGAAGATATAACATAATCCTATAATTTTTTAGTCCATCTGCGTGATAATTTACAAGTACTGCAATTTACAATAGTCTTATGTAGGTATCTGCTATAGCTGTCGAATACCCTGGATATGGAAAATACAAAAATGAACAACCTTCGGCTGAGTCCATCCTGAATGATGCTGAATATGTGTTTAATTATCTGACAAAGAGATTGGGATATGCTGAAAACAGGATCATTGTATTCGGTAGAAGTATTGGGAGTGGACCTGCCACTTACATAGCGAATAGATACAAACCTGCATGTTTGGCTTTAATGTCTCCATTTACTTCCCTTAAAGCAGCAGTTAGAGATTACATTGGTTCATGGGCATAGTTCCTCATTAGATAGAGATTTGATAATTTGGATCAAATTTAGAAGGTGAAAGTACCTATTTTTATTTTGCATGGTTTGGCTGACAATATCATTCCTTATTCATAAGCATAACAATTATACAGTAAAATATGTTTTATAATTAGAATCATGTAAAACTGACAAATGTGTTCTGCATCTGGCCGATGATATGGATCACATCAGTTATAGGTTATATAAGGACTTAATTAATCCATTTACAGAATTTTTACTTTAAATTAAATATTATTAGAACTGTTCTTAAGGACCAAAAATGCCCACAGTTCTCTTTTATGATCCTACAATTGAATGAATATGATGATGAACTCTTTTGATGTTTATTATGATATTGTATTTATCATTCTATTTTAAGGTTTTAAATTATATTTATTATTTTTAAATTTATTAAAGCATTTCAAAAAAGATGGGTTGTGCCTAAACCAAGCAAAGATCTATGATATCAAAGAAGATACCAGTCTCTATACTAAAAAAGAAAGGTGAAGAGAAATTTAATCAAACTTTAACCAACACCTAAGAAATAGAGTAAATAGGAAAAAAAATTTATGATTGTGAAAATTCTTAATTTGACAATTACAATATCTCTTAAAACCCGATATTAAGAAGGAGAAGGGCCTCAATGAGTTAAAATTGATTTCTTATAAGTGTATTAGTTCTACTTCCATAATTCATAATTTATATACGTTTTTTCCCTTAATTAAATATCTGACTGTATTGTATATTTTATTTACATCGGTGAGTGATAATATTAAATTGCAAATATAACTGAGTACGTAGGTTATATTCAACAATAATTAACCCATAAGATATTCGAACAATATTAATTTAAATATCTTACTGATATTTTCCAAAAATCAATATAATTATCTGTTACAACATTTAATTACATTTTAAATTATTAGATAAATTATACAAAATTTAAAAGAAATATAAACATTCAATATATTTACATCAAAACTAATAGAGTGAAGTTAGTTATTCTTTGGCCAATTCATACGCGTAAAACCCGATTGCATTAGCGTAAAATGCCCGAAAGACACACACTGAGTATCCTTTCCAAACAGAACTGAAACCTTCAGTAGATATTTTCTGTGACAAGCAATCAAAAAACCCTCCGTCATAACATCTCACCTTATAAACCCCTGAAGTTTTGCCGGTTTAACATTAGAGGATGGTCTTAATTGTCTTGATTTAATAGATTTATTTTACATCTTAAGGATATCCTATTGTCCAACATGAAACGCCTGCTAGACCTCCTGAAATCAATAAGTTTGCTGTGGAGGGTTCAGCCTTCTACGATAAATCACAAAGTATGTCTTTGATGAATTCATAAACTGCAAATTAAGCTGAATACCCAAGAATTTCTCTTTATTAAGTAGCATGCATTCCTCTAAAAATATATTTAAACCCTTCCTTTTTGTAAATCTATTATATTTTGTATAAGAAATACTTAGAAAACACAATCGATGGGATTTTTGTAGATTTTTTCAGTTTCTTACATTTATAATTTGCATTTTGTTAATTCAATTGGACACGAGAATAATGCAGCAGAACTTCCAGCTATGCTTCCACAGAATGCTCTAAGATTCAAATCAAATAAATACGTTTGGAAATATGTAAGTTATTTATTGGAATTTCCAATAAAAAATTTTCTCCAGAATTCATAAACTGAAAACACAACCGCATTTGTTATTGGTATAGAGAGTATTGGAAAAGACATTCCTTTATAGAAACCCTTGACTCCTTCATTGTTTATTATTTTTCGTAGTGTTGTTACAACTCCGTCTTCGGACATTTGCATTCTGACTTTAACCGTGTCTAATGGATGACTTGAAATACAATTAGCTCTAACCTTTAAAAAATGAATATTACATTCCACTAATAGACCCGGCTGCCAAATCAATAGAGATTTAATATCTATTTTCATATGTCCATTGAATAAAATCTGACATTTTAAAAAAAGTAATTATACGATGATCAATTTATGTAATTCATATATTACATACGTCATTATTAATTAATCTTATTTATCATATTACTTATTGATAAAATAGGAACTTATATACTAGTATAAAATATTTGATTATTGATTTTATAATTAAAAATAATTACGGAGTATTTTTATTAAAAAATAAATATGAATTAAATTAAAATATTTATTGGAAATGACCATGCTGCATTAGATTATAAAACTACTTTACTAGAATATAGTAAAAAAAAAGGATATGATATTGAAGATCTAGGAACATACACAAACCAAAGTTGTGATTATAATGATTATGCTCTTAATGTATGCAAAGAGGTCATTAAATCTAATGCAATTGGAATATTAATATGTGGTAGTGGAGTGGGGATTTCAATGATGGCAAATAAGGTTAAGGGCATCAGATGTGGATAAGTGAATGATTATGATTCTACATTAAAGGCATTAGAAATAGGATGCAATGTGATTTCTTTTGGTGCCAGAACTGTTGGTATCGAGATTGCTAAGTAAATTGTGGACACTTTTCTTTCCAATCAAGACAGAGCCAAGAATCAGGAAGTTGAGAAGGAAATTTAAAGCATCGAAGAACTAACTTATGGAAAATGAATAAATAAATGAAAAATATCAAATTCAAAATTATGTACCAAATGAATTCATTTCTATGTAATTAATATAAAGAAAGCCATCCTAATCTCTAAACGATAGATATAATTCTTTTAAAGTTTAATCTTTAAATTATTTTTCATTTTCATACCTATTCTCAACAATGTCTTGCCACAATACAAATTAATTGAATCGTATTAAGAAAGTTTAATTTTGCTTTTAATGTATTACAGGACGTTCATAATTGTCATTGTGTTTGGCATTTTGAATCTATTTAAAAATTATAGATTACTTTATAAAATTTTATTTTGGCAATTTACTTTTGCTTGATTATTCCACCACTACTAAAACATCATTAGGATAGAGTTATTTGCAATTATCAGATTCATTTTTTCTTTCTTCAAAAGATCTTGTATTTTGAAAATTCAATGTTTATTTCATTTAAATAGAAATATAAATAATAATTATATAATTATTATTATTTGAGATGTTTTATTGATAATTATGTGGATTTTCATCTTCTTTATAATTTACATTATTCACTTAATATATACTAGATTGCATTCAAACAATTTTTCATTTCACCTCTCAATTTTAGGACAAACTCATCTCTGTACTCCTAACAATAATCTATGAGTGATTGATACTTTATTATCAGCTTATATATTAACTCCTTCTTCTTTTCCAATCCTATTTAATTTTTTCCTCATTTATTCTATTAAATTCATTGGAACAACTATCTTTGCCTAAAATGGATTTTGTTTGGTTTTTCGTTAGTTTGAACTTGTCTATTGATTAGATGTACCTAGTCGATCTAGATTTTTTTTATTTTTTATGTCTTTTGTTTGAATCTGATCTGGATCTCAATCTTCTACTTGATCTGGAGGATGAGGATTTCTATCTGAGAAATATTAAAATAATGTTGAACCTCTTTTGCTTGATATCTTGGATCGATACTGAATTTTTGTATTGTTAAGCAAAGTTTTCATTAATGTACTTTCCGCTCTCAAGGATCTTTTTAATTATTTAAATACAGGTCCTCCATTTTTAAAACATTCTATCTATTCCAAAATTAACACTGCAGCCTCTAATTTATGTTCCACTGATCCAATCACTTAAACCAAACAATCTAATTACGTATATTCAATAACAATACATTATCCGATATCTGAGTCATCTTTATCAGACATAACTTTTATTTATGCTCCTTTGGCTTTGTTTGCAAGTTCTTTTATTTGGCAACCCTCTTTGAAAAAGTCATAAATCATTATAATATACTCGCTCCTATCAATTTGGATGCAAAATTAGAAGGCATCACTACTCTTACATCAAATTCCAGTCTCTTGAATTATGAACTTATTTTCCGAATCATAGATTTAATTGCTTCTTGCACATTTTTCAATGTTCCAACTAACTGTAATATTTCTTCATCCTTCTTTAGTTTATTCTAAATAGTAATCGATATCATCAATACTTTGATTGGTATTTCATTAATACTTTTAGCTTTCATTTTTATCTAATATTTTTTCTCTAGTTCTTTATTTTTGAGAATGTAGTCAACAATTATTTCAGTGAAGACAAGTTAAACCTCTTTAATAATGTCACATACCTTAGTAACAACCTTTCCTGGATCTATTGGCTCAGCTCTCTTGATGTAGTCGTCTTCTGTAATTCCTCTTTGATGCAATTTATTTATTATTAATTTAATAGCATTATAGATGCAATCTGACTAACCTAAATGATTATCATAAGATCCTCACCAGCTATCTTCACTGATCGTAAGGAAAATTTGTTTATGGCATTATTGACCACAACATCAGTTTTTGTTTCAAGTTGAATATTTTTAATTTACTTTCCAGATGCACCAATTAAATATGACACAGTTCCTAGTGTTTATAGAATTTCTATACCTTCAGGTATCAACATCATCATTTCAAAAGTAGGATTTTTCTTTTACTCAATTGATGAAAGTATTTTGTTGACGGCTTCAAGTTATAAATTTAATTTGCTATCATCAGATTCAATAATTGAAAATGCTGTGCCCTCTAACCCAGGAATTTGATTATTTCGATTCAGCTAAATAGACGTGACGTCATATTGTGACTAAATGTTGCTAATTATGGTACTTTCACATCCTCTAAAATATTTTTCAATTCATCTTATTCGATGTATTTCCACTCAATAAAAAAATCGATTTAAAACTATTTTTTCCTCCTAGACTATTCAGGAGAGTTTGATCTAGATGATTAGCCTGATAACCCTTATTCCTCTCCTAGATCCTTCGACATATAATAATAATTTATTAATATATTCAAACTTAAATTTGTTTACAAACAATTATTGGGATTCTATAATAAATATCCTTACTTAAAAAATATTTATTATATTATGTTCTTAAAAATATGATATACGCATAATCCATTGAAAAAACGTATCAAAAGGAGTTTTTGTAGCATTAGATAAACTCAAGAGAAGGGGATAGGAATCAATTATCAATAAAGTTATAGACTCAATTTTATACATCATAGTAATGTATATAGAAATTGAAATTATGGACAGGTAAAGTTAAGTATGAGATAATAATGATAATCTCTAAATTTAATTATATATTAGTAGATGACAATTTTATATAAAATAATATTGATCATTAATAATTTTACTTGATTTTAGAATGAATTTGATGTATTTTGATATTTATACAAGTAAAATGATTCATTTTAACATAAAACTCTTGAGTAGGAATGATTGGGCAAATATAAAATATTGATGTATCATCAATATGTTTGTTTAAAGAAATATTATTATAATTCTTAATTATGATTATAAAATATTTATTTAATAATTATTATCCTTCATATTTATGCCAGAGTTGTTCATTCCTGTTTACTTTGGCTCATTCGACTTTCAAAATCATTTTATTACAGCATGGGCTGATGATATAGATAAAAAAAGAATTGCCACAGGTTCAATTAATGGAGACATCATCATATGGGAATTCGACATCTTTAATTTGAGACCACTTATAAAATCTACTCCACATTTGATATATAGAGTAGGAGGAGTCACAGCTTTATAAATAATGAGAAGACCATTTGCAGAATTTTAGGATAGCAATATGAATTGTGCAGTAGCAATTCATCAAGATAAAAGAATAAGAATATTAAGTATGTTAGATGGCAAATAGATTTTGATTTCAGATCATGATTAATTTCCATATTCAAAATAAATAACATAAATATATCCAGTTGGTGATAGAACAAGTAGATATATAAGTTGCTTTGGAGAAGGTATAGCTATTTACATATATGATTTATGGAAAATGTGTTGCAGCAAAATATTTTTGATTCAAGATGAGCTTAATTAGCCAAGATTTACAATCTTTACATCTATTGAGACTGGCTTTGCTGTTATTGGTATAATTTGATGATATTCAAGATAGTAAATGTAGAATCTACAAAATTGATGCATCAGCATATAAAAAAACTGAAAAATAAAACTATTTAAAATATATTGAAAAGAAAGCATAAGAAAAAAAGAAACATATATAAAAAAAGTCCATAATAAAAATGTCCTCCAGTTTTTCTATTAAAGGATTACCATAAAATAAAATAATCAATGCAGTCTATAACACGAAATCTCACATCATGTACATAGTTTATTCAAAATCAATATATGTGGTGAATTACCCTTTTAAAGAAACTGATTAATCAAGGGAAATGTTCTCTATTAAGTCTTCTACAAGTATAATTAAATTTAGGGATATTCATTTATTCAAAAGCCACAATGAGACTATACTAATTATTGAATAATTGAATGGTAGCACTAGTTTTATTTACGAGAAGGATATTTAAAATTTAATAGGTCTAATATCGTAGAGTTATAATTAATGTATAACTTTAGACTTTAATGGTTTTAGTTTTTCAAAATAAAGTTAATCCTATTAAGGATAACTCTTGCTACTACTCCATTAATAATTGACACCAATTCAAGTTTCAAAATACTTTTTTTAATAGACAATATTCTCAATAAATAATTTGTTATTTAGATAAAATGGATGCATCATTGAAATATACAGGCCAGATTCAATTAATTATGATGATTATTGCATTTGTAACATGTAATAGGATAAGTTGTTTGATGTAACATTAAATTCTGAAGGCTTTACACTCTATCTTTATTCTCAATCAAGATTTATTAATGAATCAAAATAGTTGGAAATCATGGATATTCCAAAAACACTTGTAGATCTTTAAATTTTTGAGTAAAATGATATTCTGAAATCCTTAAATTAAAATTTACCAGAACACATTTAAGGATAATTTAATTAAATTCAAAACATCTCTAAATATACAATTGGCTTATTTAACAAGACTGATCTTTTTGCGATATTTGGAACAGAATAAGGAAAAATATTTTTGACTCCTTTCTTCTATGAGAAGAATAAAAGATGGAATCTTTATATGAATAATGAATTTAAATTGGGCATAATTTTTTTGAAATTTATCAAAAATTCTATTTTTGCTGTGGATCAAACATTAAAATTAAAAGTCTTTAGTCTATCAAGCATATTTGGTAGATTTGACAATTAATCAGTCGAATTTGTTTCAACCTATTAAACAGTCTTACCATAAAATATTAAATAAGTGTTATAAATTAGATAACTGTTTTAGGAATCAAACAATAGCACTTTCTCAAATAATGATGCTCTTGTTGTTAAAAGAAAGTTAGTAAGACATTTTGTGGCCTTGCTATTGGAGGATGACTCTATTGTTATTTATCATACAATATTGAATGTTAAGAAATTCTCTTTTCATAATTAATTTAAATAAAATTAAGGATAAGTCAAGTTATATTATGTACCCCATTTATTACTCTTTTTATTTTGCAAAGGAGTTGAAGTATCTGTGTGGTCAATGGAGAATGGTAAGTTGGAAAGAATGCTAAATATTCAATAATTGTAAGAGTATTTGAATATCGAGACTCTATTACCATTGAAATTGTCTTAAATGATCAATTCTTATGATTTCAAATCATTCAAGACTGATTAGGTTTCGTAATTCGATCTTTTAGAATACTCAAATAGGAGTTATTAGATGTAATATAATTATTCCTAAGAGTTAAAGCAACAATCACCATAATATTTTTATGACTTTTTAGGGACTCTGAATAAAATTTAATAGAATACTTTGGAATTTGATGAAATTTTACATATTCTTTCATATGAAGATCCAGCAATAAGTTATAGAGATAAATCAATAATTATATTTGAGCCTTAAGAGATGGGAGATATGTTTCTGCTGTATAAGATTTATTTAAAATAATTCAAATCTACATTACAGTTTGATAGAGTAAATAAGTTGTATAAATAATAAAAATAACATAATAAGCCAGATTCTACTAGTTCTTCTTATTACTTAATATGGTTTGATTGCAAAAAGAATATTGAGTTAGTAAAATATTCAATGGAAAATACAGCGACTATGAAGATACCCTTTACTTATGTTCATTTTTATCATGTTCTGAACTAAATACCTATATTTAAATGTTAATTTGGTTTGTAAGGAATGGCAGAAGGATTTTCAAGATTGATTGAATCTAACAATTATTAAATAAGTGGATTAATGTCCACTTAATACAGTATAGCAGCAGCCTTATGCTTAAAATAAATAAAAAATCGATTTGATATTTCAGAAATTAACAATTAAACAAGCTTATTAAGTCTATCTAGATATAGTCTCGACAATTCAAAGGATATTATCGAGATATCTTGTTAATTGATCTCTTAATAGATAAAGAAAATGGATAGTCTGTCTAATGAAATTGTGGTATTATAAAGAACTTCCAAAGAGTTCTTGTAGTTATTTGAAAAGAGTAATTCAACTGTATATTTCTCTTTAGAGATAATGTGCCTAATTATCCAAACTTATTTAATGTAATAGATGATGAGTAATATTGAAATGATTCACTATGTCTTTAATAGAATTATGTCTGGTTTCACTCACTAATTGTGTTTGAAGAAACCTAACATTGTGTTTGTCTTTATAAAATTATTAGAAGATGGAATGTAAAATTTTCATAAATGTATCTAATAACCGAAAATGTGTTTGTAGACCTTGCTGTCGATTTATTATTACATCTACACTGCATATAAACATGGTTAATCATTAAAAGAGATCATTAGTTCGCCTTTGAATAAAAAATCAAAGGAGAAGGATAAATATGAAAATTTGAGGTAGTACTAATAAATGACTCAACTAGACTTATAGAGAATAAAACAAAGATTAAAAATCCTAATTATTGTTTTGTCTTAATACTTTTTCTAGGAATTTAAGGCAACTATCTTAGAAATGATCAATTAATCAGAAAATTATCCCATAATAGCGTGTTCAATTCTTGATTTATTGCATTGTTTATCGAAAACAGACATCAGACCTAATGAAATACTATTCATCTTAGATTTATCAATAAAGTATTAAATTATGAATAATATTAGAACCATAGATTAGAGTAATCAATAGTTAAGAAAGTACACTTATAAGTCTTTTGTTAAGTTGGCGTAGTTTTTGGATAAGAAGTTCGAATATGTAAGTTTCTCTAAACAGATATTAAAATTAGCATTTGCATTAGAGGGCTTGGTTCATATTTATGATCTAAGGTATGGTGTAAAGTTATAGACATTAGATAGATATCAATGTAAGTATATAATTAAGTAATTAGCTTAAATAACAAGTATAGCCTTTGATGCAAAGGGCAAGTAGTTAGCTTCATTTTCTTAGAGGGATTCAAATTTAAAAGTCTTTCAATTAAAGCCGACTAGTTGTTTTATATAGGGATATGAGAATGTGTACATTAAATTAACTCATTAATTTAACTTTCTATAACCACTCTACTATAAGTTAGAATGGGATGAGGACTGTGAGTATATTTATTTATAACATGAAGATGAATCAAAAGTATTTAAAATTGATTGAATTATAATATATTATATATATATAAATATAATAATCATTATAAATAAAATGCATTATAGAAAATTAATTTCTATTAAAACAAAAAAAAATTAATTATATTCTATAAATTAGTTGTTTAATGATAGTCTTTGTGCTACCTTATTTTTTTATTTTAAGATTATTAAAATCATCAAATACTCGATTTAATAAATTGGGGCACATTTCCCTATTATTTTCAAATTGATTATTTGAATCCTGCAAATATAGTTTGCTTATCAAGAATGTAGTTAAATGGATCTCTTAAAGGTATTATAAATTGATTTACATCGATATATATTATTGATCTTAAATAAAAAATATGCAATCAAATGTTTAAAGCAAAATTAGCTTTAAATAGCTAGTTTATCATAATAAAAACTCTTCTTTGCTTGAAATAAGCAAGAAATTAATTTACAATTTAAAATTTATAGAAAAATTAAAAGGTATACAATTCGTCATATAATTATGATGTGATGATTTTAAAAAAACCAATATATTGGGATATTTATTTATAAACTGCTCTTTCATAAAGATACTATTAATAAATAAAATTTAATAAGAAATAACAACTTGAAGATGGAAATTCTTTGTGTTTGCTGTGAATGTTGCCTAGGACTTCGATCTGACGAGGGTGCCTCACTTGGAGGCTTATCTATGCTTTGCTGCTGTTATTGTTGCCTTAAAGGCTATGAAGAGAATATATCTGGGCATAAGTCCAGGGTCTATAGATACATAAATATAGTTCTTGTCTTTATATTTGTAATGGTTGCTGTGATTTTAACAGCAATCATACAAAGCAAAACAAGCTTATCTAATTAGCAAATAACAAAAATATTCGATAATTGGTAGCTTGGTGCTTTAACTGAAATTTAAATATTCGACTTCTGCCCAGCTGATTATGAATTGCTAACCAACTATTCAATACCAGGAATATAAGAAGGCTGTATCTGCATGAGCGATAGAGATGTTTCAACATTCGAATGCTCAGATTGGGATAAGTTTTAAAATTGTTACAATATACCAGAAAAGGACCCGATCGAATTTTCCAAATGGGTATTATCCTCGAATAACTCATTTTATGCTTTTTAACTCTGTGGGAAAAGATCCACCTTACCATTTTATGAATTATTATAAAACAAAATAACAACTGCAGAAGATTGTAAAGCAAATGGTTACAAAGTATGTGAAACTTAATCCACAGAATTTGTTTATTGCGTACTCAAAGAAGAAACTTGTCCAATAAGAGAAATCATATTCAGCTAATACCAACTCTCAGAATACGAGATATAGTAAAATAATTATAGTTTAATTTATGACAAGGGATTTTATACATATGTAAGTCTATCAAAAGAAACCTTTCCGCTAATGAATTTTGCCATCGTAAAAGGCAAGGGAGTGTGTTTTGATAACAGTATATAGAGTTTAAATCCTAAACTCGATGAGGATTACATCTTGTTTGATCCAGCCCCAGAAGATTGCACCTTAGATGATAGTTATTACTAGATATCAACAATAAATGAAAGATAGCTGTTTAATCTTAACAATATTCTGTCACTGGTTCAAGCAGAAAGACCTTTATATGATATTAGCAACAAAGTAGAATATTAATTACTTGCTTAGAATCAAATATAGTTTAAAGAGGATTGCAGATCCAAAAAGTAAACCTTAATTAATATTTTAGTTTTGAATAACTGGTTGATCTTGACTCAAGGTTTAAAAGCCAGAGGACTATAACTATCTGTTAATTAGTATTTTCATGCGTCGCATTTGTAATTATACTTCTTTTTATGTTAAATGAATTACATCGTTGTTGTTATAAGGATTGTGGCAAATGCTTTGGAGGAATATAATTGTTAATTAAAGAACTTATAGTTTATTTACTAGGTGTAACTGTTATTGTTGCCTATGCTTTTATGATGGATTTGGTCAATACTATCGATGATTTTACTAGTAAAAATTGTTTCCCTTAAAGTGGCTAAGACAGAATGAATTAAGTGCGTGAAAGTTTGGTCAATACTGCTTTGTCCCTTTCCTATTGTCTCCTTATTAATGTAGGTCTCATGATGGTCATTAACTTTTTCATGTCAACCTTTTTGTGTTTTAAAAATTATAAACTTAGTTTGAAGATGCCAAATTTCTTCACAAGGTAGAAATCATACAGATTTGAAGCTCATCGTTACAACCCAGATGATTATAAAAAAAAGGAAGAACCTATTTAGAATCAAAATAATTACTAAAATCCTTATTAAGCTCCTAACTAAGATAATAATAGATATCCATATCTTGCCCAAAATCTGAGCGGAGACTAAAAACCTTACCCAATTCCTTAATTAGGCCATAATAACAATCCAGATCGATATTAAGGCTATGATAAACATTCTTACCCACCTCCCCCCTCCCATTATTAGTAAAATCCCATCCAATATTAGTAAAATCCTACTCCTTAATATTACGAATAGTAGGTAATTCATAATAAACCTCCTTAACATCAGTATGTTTAAAATCAAGCAGTAGAAGACGAACCTCCAATAATATAAGAAGAAGATCCTCCAGTAATCAAATAAGAAAATTAAAAATATATATAATGAAAAAATTCAAATTCTATTGATATTTGAATAATTAAAAATTTTACAAATTTATATCCATAAAGTCCTTAGCATTCTCTTTTAAGTGTCCATATATTTTTTATTTTTCTTCAATTATAAGTTCAATGCCCGTATTTCATAAGATAATTTATATTTCAAAATTTATACCTCCAGAACTCATTTTTCAATGCACATACAACAAAACTCGATTAGAAAACTGATTAGTTAATAAAATCAATATGAACAATATTAATAAGTTCTAACTTTATCTTCATTTTAACATTCAAAAATCTAATAGTATAAACTATAAGTTTAGATTAATCTTTGATGCGCTTCTCAAAATGTGATTGTTAAATACTCATCTTAAAAGAGAATCAATATATAAATAGTTAAAATTATATAATTATATTTTTTACTGTTAAATCGGCTTATGGATCTCTCCTAATACAATCTAGTACAATGTTTATGAATACTTATAGGTTGATGAAAACTCAGATTACATTATTCTCTAGCATAAATCAAACAGCCAATTATATGTTTATAAGGAATATGAAATACCAAAATTTATTGGGAAAAAACAAATACTTCCAAACTCATAATTAATAGAGATTTTAGAAAACAGAAGGTAATTGGATTCTTCAAATTTGCTATAACTTACCGATTATGTCATAACATCCAGATTATGCCTATTATATGAATAATACCTCAAAAATTTTGAGGAGGAATTGTCAAAGCGTAGAAACACTAATTAATATTGGTCTGAGGAAGAACTGTATAATACATTTCAAGCATGTCTATCGGCTATGAAATCTTTTCATGATGTAAACCATTATTATTAAGATAGTTTGGATTGTCTCATACTTGTATTGGTCCAAACTCAATAGTGTTTAGTTAGGATTCCCAAGTTAAATTAGCTGACCATTTTGCAGTAACCTAATAATTCAAGAGGAACTACTCTCACGTTCCAGATAATGAGGAGTACGGCTATTGGTCACCTGAAATTATTAATGAATTTCAAGGGTGGAAATAGAAATATGAGACTATTGAAGCAGATATTTGGGCTTTAGGGATTGTATTTCTAGAAGCTATGACTTTAAAATCGGGATACGATTTTTATTTTATAGACGATAACAATAAATTATTCATTGATTACCAATTACTCTAAGATAATTTTGATGCAGCCAAGGAATTTTATTCTTAAGAATTGATCACTTTAGTTTAAATCATGCTCACTATAGATCCTTAAGAAAGGACTTGGGAAAGCATTATCGAATAGAACATAAGAATCTAAGATATGTAGTAATAGCAGATTCATCCACAAATACAACCTATTCCTGAGGAAAGTGAGGAGGAGAGCATAGTCTAAGAGAATGGGACCGGTTGCGATAAAAATAAACTATTGAATATGTTGGAAAGTTGTTTAATTAAATCTCGACAATTGATTAAAGAGAATGAATGCAGAAAATCTAAAAGACCTAGTTAAAATAAAATATCAAGTAGTTAATCTACTCCTCCAAAAGAGAAGGAGGATGTCTCTTCGGGTTTGTTAATGCTGTTGAAAGGCAAACATTCTAGGAAAAATTCAATTGATTCAAGTGGATCGATTCTTAGGGAAATTCCTTAGAATAAGCAAAAGTAAAGACAAAAGTCTTGTTAAGATATTTTTGAAAAAATAGTCTTGCAAAATCCTAATGTCCAGGATGAAAATATCATGGATCCTAATGATTTATCGAATTTGATGTAAATCTATAAGTCATATACAGGAGAAGGAAAAAATAAAATGATGCATGGCAAAGGGCATTTGGTGTTTTAAAATGGTGCTGTTTTATAAGGGTAAATATGATTCTGTAAATTTCTTAGGAGCTTTAAGGATGGCAAAGTCAATGGATATGGAATCTTATTAATAAATGGCTAAATAATGGTTGGACATTGGGAGAATAACATTTTAGTTTAAATTATGTGAAATATCATATATATATATATAAATAAATTTACTAATTTTTGATAAATTAATGAGAATTCGTATTTTTTACTTCTTAACCACTGAAATGAGTTTACTTAAATTTATTAATTATTTTTATTTATACTCCCTACAATGAATAGTGCTGTAGAGACGTAACCCATTCTGTTTGAAAATTAACAAAACTAACCCTCGCAATAATGTTTGGAATAAAAGATGAATATTATTTTAATGGCTACAGAGATTGAGAGACTACACAAAATTTTATTGTCAAAGAAGGACTACTATGACAAAAAGATGTAAGATTTGATGGATAGAGGTATTCTAAATTAATATTTAATAGAAATCCAAGACAAGGAATAAATCGCCAAATAAGCTTAGACTATTACTGAATTAAATCAACAAATTCTATAGAAGAATGCCCTTATTACTTAAATTTTACAAGAAAAGTAATTAATACACATCATACTTAGGTCTCAATAAGAAATGAACCTCTTAATAAGTTAACAATTGTTTGTAATCAATGAGCAATACAAAAATGCTGAAATTTACATCCAAGAATTATAAAAGGAAAATTAGATTTTAAAATAATAGTTTGAAGATGCTCCATCTTTGAGATAAAAATTGTACAATTTAGAGTAATGGTATGCTAAGTTAATTCATGAGAAAAATCAAGAAATCCAATTATTGAAAACACAACAACCCCATATAGTTTAACATGCTCCTCAACTAAACATAATTAATTAGCTTTTGGAATAGAAGGAAAGAGAGTTATTACAGTGGCAATACAGCTCATAGTAAGTGAATATATACCATGAGAATTAAAGATTAAATTAAGAGCTTAAATTTTTAAATGAGAAATTGAATATGCTGTTGTTTGACAATGAACATTTAAAAAAGAGATTAGCAGACATTTAGTCTCAACCATCTAACTAGACTACCTAACCATAGTATTGCACACTTAAAGGAGACTCATAATGCACAGCTCCCATATTACACGACCTATAGAATACCAGAACACCTAGAAGATATTAATAATCGATCATTCCTACTGACTTCACAAATACATCACTATTGAGTTATAGAATTATAAGAAGACCTCAATCTGTTGGATCAGGAAGTTCAATCCATTTACAGGTACCTTAGATTCTCTATCCTTAATACTAACCTTCTCCAAGATACTCTAGGAAATCAGTGTAGAATCATTCTAATTAATTTAACGAAATATTGTTATAAGTCTAATTTATTTAAAATCAACCGTAACTCACTGTTTAGAATATAGAAACCTAAATTTAATTGTTGAACACTTTATTGTAAATTAAAAGATAAGAATTGCCAGTCCATTTAACTCCTCCCAAATAGATTTATAACATCTTAAAAACTTAAGGCAACGATAGAACTTAAAGTTCAGCCTAGTCACCTCCCCAATAAATCATTATGAAATAGCCAATCAATATTTTATAATAAAATATTCAACCTAATTAATCAGTTAGATTACTGCCTCAAAATTAATTATAAATTCCCAACAATATTGTTAAATTCCGATCCTTTTCTGCTGAAACTAAAAGAGAACTTTCTCCAAACAACTTCCAGTGCTAATAATAACTAATACCATAGACCTCACTATTCTACAATTAGCCACAATAAGCTCATCAAATTTAGTATAAATGTTCCCCAATCCAAAGAATCATTACATAATAACATTTATAAAATACAATCCCAAGACAGATCTAAAGAAGTGTTTCACCTTAGCCTGTGTAGTTTTTACAATATTAACAGTATTATAATATTCTAAATTAATTAGACTATCCCCTTAAGCACCTCAAACTGTCAGATATCAAGATGTGAATCAATTCCATTAATCTAAACATCCACTTCAGTTATATTAGGATCCATAACAATATTATTACATCTAATAATAATAACCAGTAAATTACATTTAATTTTCATAATAATCCTAATAATACCTACCCACCTAATTCGGAGTTCATTCACAAAACCCAAGTGATTAAAATAAATCTCCTATCAATGTTCTGGCTTATCCTTATGAATATTCTCCACAAGCTCCAGAAGATCTAAATAAGACCAGGCAACCACAATAACCTATGACATAAAATCAAAATACATTATTCATGACTCCTAGTAGTGTCAGAAAGCCAGTCATATCAAGTAGTAATTCATCGTAACCTTTTTCATAAGTGAAGAATCCTATTAAAAGAGAAGAATAACAACCTTTAAATAAACAAAAACAAAGGGAACCTAAACATCAGAGTAATAAGTCTCTTCCTGCCCAAATCTTAGAATAATTACCAATCGATAATTCTCAGTTTGAACCATTTGAACTATGCAGTGCACCATAAGAACCTGAATAATAATAAAAAGAACAATAAACACCAGAATAAATTTCAAAACCTCAGGATCCTGCAGAATAAAATAAGCCAAAATAGGAAGATGTATAGAAAAACAAGTAAAATCCCAAAGATCAAGTGAAAAATCCCCAAAACCCTGAAAATTTATAGAAGCAACCCTAAAAACCTTAAAATATTCCATAAAATTCAAGTGTTGTTACTAAAATAAGTCAGAACCCTTAATTGCAAAGCAAATAACCTAAGAACTTGGATAATCTAAAGTAGTTGGTATAATAACCTGAAAGTCTAAGAAGAAGTCAACCTACAAGCGTTAGAAATAGTTAAGACAAAAAATACGTTCCTATTCCTTAGGATGCTGAAGAGTTGAAAAAATAAAAACAAGAATTAGATAGATTAAAGAATCTTTTAGAATAAGCATAATAAGATAATGAAAAACTTAAAGAACTTTATTAATAAAATGATTTGAATTGGTAAAAGTAATTCTAATCGAAATATACAGCAGCATTATAGCAGTTGCAACTCTTTGAAAATAAGTTATCTATGTAAAATAAAGAGTATAATTAGAATATTGAGAAATAAAAAAGTAACTTCAATCAATTACAATAAAAATTTAATGATTAAAAGGTAACAATCGATAAGCAAAGAGAGGAGATAAATCAATTAAAATAGAATTA